CCGGATACGCTGCGCCAGGGTGGGGAATGTGGGAACTCAATTATGGCGACGTGTTTGGTGTCAAACAGCGCGGGAATAACGGGCCGCCTCCGGGACAAGGTACAACACACATAGTACTCCCAATGTATAGGTTTACGACCACCGCCCTTGCCGGGTGACTCAAAAGCATCCGATGTGCAGCGTGCTGTGGCATCACGCGTGTCAGGACCGCTACCGCCGGGCAATGTATGTCTGCAGATGCCGGCAGGTGGACGAGCGAAGCTCTACCGCTCGCTGGCGCTCGAGGAGCAGGCGCCGCCGCCGCCACCTCCGCCACATTATACTTTCATGATGGGTCACATCATCAACGTAAGCTCGTCCCATCCGCGCGAGGCCCGCCTCTCATCCATGTTGTTTCAATCTCAATCATTTTTCAATCAAATAGCCGCAGGCGCACCGCATTGGCTCATTGGATAACCATAAAAGTGTCGGCTGTATGAAGCATGGCCAGTGCCGGCTTATCTGTTACCCTCAGCCGCGTGGCTATTTGACCGGCGCCGGCCGCTTTCAACTGGGCGGCAGGCGTGTGGCTATTTCGCCCGCGTCAGCCGCTATCGTCCGAGCACCGTCCGTGCGCGCCGGAAAATAATTTGAGATGTAAAGCATCGGCAGCGGGTAGATACCGGACGCGGTCGGTGGCCTCAATGGACGCCCGATCGATGCGGTTTTTGCCGCGGGAGCTTGCAAGCTCTTTGTTTGCGTCCGTCAGCTCCGGCTCTTTGTATATTCGAGCCGGCGCCGGCGGCCGGCATTTGGGTCGTCGCGTCGATGGCTGCGGCCAGCGCGCGCCCATCTTTTTGTCACCCGTCCTCGGCTGGGGAGATTTCATTACAGCCTCCATCAGCAGCAAATGAGGGAGCACTTTGACTCGGTGTGAAATTGAATGGACAGGTAAATTAGATTGCAGATAGCCGTTGATTGAGTAAAATCAAAGTCTGCCGGACAATGGCGGGGCGTCGCGGCCGGCGGCCGGTCGGCGGCGATCCGTCAGTCGCGGGCGGCGAGGGTGCGGCGCAATCGGCGGCCGTGCGCCGGCTCCCCGCCGCCGCCGATCTGAAATTCCGGCCACTATCTGGTGCCGGCACGCACCGCTGGACTCCGGCCCGCGCGCCGCCGCCGTTTACATATCCCCCGTCGGTAACAATCTCGGCGCTGATTGTCCCCTGTTGACTCTATCAGCCGCCCCGATTCATATGCTGAATACGGAATCAATGTAGATGCGGCGCCGGCCGTCCGCCGCCGCCGACCCGGCCGACGCTGGAGGACCGCTGGACCGGCCCGGACCTTCGTTAGACTGCCGCGCCGGAACCGTTGGACCGGACCGGAGCAGACTGTCGCGCCGGACCGTTGGACCGGACCGGACCACAGTGTCGCCGGGCTGCTGCGCCGCCACCTCGCCAGGCGTCGGGTGTCGGCCGGACTTCCATTCAAATTGAATGAGCGATGGCCGCCGGCGGCCGGCCGGGCCGCCTCGGAGCCGGCGGCCTCCGGGCGTCGGCCGGCGCCTCATCAACTTTACATCGCTCGTCGCACGCCCGGCGCCGAGGTCACACCCGGGCCGTGCGCCGGCGGCACGCGGACACCGGCGCACGGACGTCGGCCGCCGGCGGGCATCTGTTGCGACGCCGTCGACGCGTCGCCGCCGGCGCCCCCCCGTCTGGAGCGGGGTCGTTAGCGCGGCGCGAGACTGGGGGCGCCGACGGGGCGCCGGCGCCGCTCCCCAGCCGCCGCTTTATGCATATATTGAGCAGCACAACAGAGCTAGCGGCGCGTGAGGCGGCCGAGATTGTTGAATAAACTCCGGTCTGGCCAGCAGATAACATGTCCACAGTCAAAGATTCAATTACGCCGGCAAATTGAGTGAGCGTGCAGCAGCCGCGCGAGGCGGCCGGCGTGTGGGGAGCGGTGGGTGCCGACGCGACGACTGTGTCTGTCGGCAGCGATGACCGGCGGCGGACCAGCCCTGTCCAGGTCACGGGCTGACAGCAGCTTGGGGGACCGATCACGAGACAGAGGCCAGTGATCGTCAGTGCCGGACGCTCCGCCGTATCCCCCAGAGTCTAGTGCCGGCCTGGAGGAGGTGATGAAAACAGATATAAGCACACGGACGGCTGCTGCGTAGGCTTACGTTGAGTATGCGGCCGCGTTTTCACCTCACATCGAACGCGTGGCTCTGCGGTGTGATTTAATGGAAACGGTTGCATGCGCGAGGTCAGCTATGAAATCGGCTGATGCGCTTTAAAAACAAACTGCAATGACGTCATAAAGTTAGGCTGCTTGACCGGGAGTTGACTGGGCACAAACACAAGTTTGTGCAGCAACAGCCGACAATACCTTCAGCCAGCATGACTTTGTGTCACAGGCAGTTAATGTAAGCGCTCAATGCTGCATTCGCGTGATATACACCGATCATATCAGGAACGGAGTTTTGCAGAACAAGTTGTGGGTTAAACAGGGAAATGTGCTGAGCCCACCCTGAAATGCATAAAAATGGTTTTCTTCTCGGACTTCTCCCACTTGCCTGTCGACTTTTGTGGGTAAGAGTCCATCCCCCAAATGGAAAGGAAGCTGGAGCACATTTTCTGTGTACGCTTTTGCAACAAACGCAATTTTATGTTTGTCATCGCCAATGAAACCGAAATCCAGTTTTTCGATGGGATCACATCAAGAGGGACTCCGTCTCCTTAAGGAAGCCTTAGTTCCTGCTCCTTCAGAACTTGCAGTCCGCTGAGCTACATAGGAGAATTTGACTGGAGAGGAAACCTTCAAATGCATCTGAAAGTCTTCTTAAAGTGAGGAAGATTCTCTGGGCCTTGAGGAGCATCAAATGATTGCTTGTGACAGGAATTAAGCATGCCTCCACCCTCTGTACTCGCTACAAGCTAACTGCGAAAAGTCACATCCCAATTCGCTGAGAAAACGAAAGAGGAACTGTCGCGTATCATCCCATTTTCAGTACCCCGTTACTACCCCGTACTCGTACAACACCGATATACAGTCGAGGGGTCGCGCGGACGTCGCGCACGCACAGAAGCTGTTTGCCATAATACGCTCGGTGAGCACTGCACAGATTTCCGCACGGCTTACTCGTCACGCGCCGCTCATTTTGCACCAGCGCGGACGCACCGCACGGGATCTTCTCCGCTTCCACCGGGCGCAGGCTTCTTTGAACTGCTGGCGATGATGGCTGACGGCCGGCCCTTGTGTCGGCGGCCGACGCGGTGCGTCCACGCTTGCAACGCAATCTCTGCCGGCTGCCGGCCCGTCCCGGGTTCCTTTGAAGTGCGTTGACCGAGCCGTGGCGGCGGGCGAGCAAAAACGAGCGGCGCCGGCCGGCCGGCCGTCCGTCCGCGGACAGTATGCAAGGGCCGGCGCTCGGCCGGCATATCGATCGTCGGACGGTTACCGGGGGTGGACGGGTGAGCGGCGGCGCCTCCTCCGGCTGCAGCGCTGCAGGGGCACCGGAGACGGTCCCGCGGCCGAGCCGCGCCGCCCGCCGGTTACCGGGGGTGGACGGGTGAACGGCGCCGCCTCCTCCGGCTGCAGTGCTGCAGGGGCACCGGAGCCGGTCCCGCGGCCAAGCCGCGCCGCCCGCCGGTCACCGGGGGTGGACGGAGCCGGTGACGGCCTGGAGCGGTGCGACCCGGAGGCGGCCGCAGCCGGTGCCTCCAGCCCTGCCCGGAGGCGGCCGGTACCCGCAGCACCCTGCCCAGAGGTGGCCGCAGCCGGTACCTCCAGCACCCTGCCCAGAGGCGGCCGGTGCCTCCAGCACCCTGCCCGGGGGCGGCCGGTACCCGCAGCACCCTGCCCAGAGGTAGCCGCATCCGGTACCTCCAGCACCCTGCCCAGAGGCGGCCGGTACCCGCAGCACCCTGCCCAGAGGCGGCTGCAGCCGGTACCCCCAGCACCCTGCCCAGAGGCGGCCGGTGCCTGCAGCACCCTCCCCAGCTGGATAATGATTATGTAAATAGAAGTTCCAGTTGATGGGAAGTCTTTCTGGCAAAAGGTCAAGTTACCTAAAACCAGGCACGTGGCTGAAGACACTAATGGACCAAGGAGTCCGTGATGACACGCATTCCGTTGTGTGCAATAGAAGAGTAAGTTCTCTGAACTACTCTACACTCTCTGCATTACGTCCAAGAGAGATATACAGGGAACCAGAGTGGGTTGAGATCCTGAGCAGTACCATAGGCCAGAGAGAACGATTTCAGAAAAGCCTATTGCAGCGAAGATTTCTGGCTTTTGCCATAGTCCTGTTCACTTTGCGAATCTAGCCGATGGCACTTAAAGCTTCGTCACCTTTCGCCATTCCGCCCGACTTCTTCTTTTCGCGACGCACTCACCCTGTTATTGTGATATTCTGTGCAAGACCGCCTTGCATCCCTCTGTCTGATGTTTCTCTATATGTGTGCCTCCTAATCTCAGTTATGCCTGCCTATATCCTACACCCTTTTTGTCGCTAAATCGCATATGATAAATAACACAATCACAATCCCACAATACAAACAGCATCAAAGGTTCGTGGTAATTGCTTGTATGAACTGAAGATATTTTGTGTACATGCACGTGCAGGACCAAATCACGTACAGCTAATTTAGACTATCGCACCATATTTTTTTAAAGATTTAATGCGAACCTTTTGAATAGACGAATGTCTGAGATCGGAGTTTCACGCTAAGCAGTGCGTGTTGTGAGAGCCCTGTTCCCCACCATCTGATCGCGCAATTCCATGTCAACGGCAAATCTGGAGGCGGGAGTTTAACGTGCCGCAATGCTCGGCATGGTCCGTCCTGCCCTCTAACGTCATCTGACATTTATCGCGACCGCTGCCACCAGCAGCAGCCCATACCTGTCGAGGACAAATAGCGAGCGCCTAAAGCGATTCGAACTCACCCCGCCACGTTTCGGTGAATTGGAAGGCAGCGCTCTAACCAACTGAGCATTTCATGGAAATAGCAATCATGGAGATGACAGTGCGCCGACCTCCACTCTCGACCAAACGTGCACCGTGTTCTTCAGTTTTCAGCAATCTAATTCAATAGTTCGCTGGCTAGCAGCCCGTTTCCAAGTTGTGAGTTGTGTCAGCCACTGCCCCTGTCGTGACGCCTGGAGCTGCGCCGCCGACGACGCGGACCCTGCCCGTCCGCGCGTGCTGACCGCCCTCCTCTCGGCCGCCCGCAGACTCGGGTCATCAACGGCGACCTGGAGGACGGCAAGAGCGACTCGTCGGAAGGTGGCGCGGCGCCGGGCGCCGGCAGCGGCCTGCCGGACCGGCGACCTCTCGCTGGACGACTCGCTGGACTCGGAGCGGGGGCGACGGCGTGCTGAACCTGGCGCCGCAGCGGACGGCGCCACAGCCGCCGCCGCGGTCGGCGCCGTTGCCGGGGCCGGCGCCGCCGCCGCTGCCGCCGCCGCCGCCGCCCTCGGCCGCCGGCGTGCAGGCCGCTCATCGCCGCCAATCCATGGCTGGACAGAATGAGTCTGACGCAGGTGAGGCGCCCCGGCCAGCCGAAAAGAGCATGACGTGCACGACATACGAGACAGAGGCAGACACGAGAGACAGACAGACAGATGGACGTGCGAGAGTTGCCCGCGCAGACTGGACAGATGAGCCTGACGTGAGGGAGTCGCCTTGCAGACTGGACAGAGGAGTTTGAGCCCGATGCGCCGCCGAGCGGATTCTGCTACGGCTGATATTTTTCCACACAAAAAATGATTGGGTGAGAGGATCCCAGGGACAAGGTGAAACTCTCAAGGTGTATTTTTTATATGACGCTCAGGCCGTAATTTTAAAATTGAAATCAGTTGGGGGCCCGTCCCGAAAAGTGCACAAGGTGGCACACTTGAACTGGGAAGATTTGCGCGGGGCAGATTTTCACCATGAGCACCCTGCAGATAAATCTGAGTTAGACAAAACATCTCGCATACTGGGCGGCTAAGCACGCCACGGGTTGGTCTCCTTGCATGCTGAATACATGTCGGCATTCCACGCCATTTTGTGGCCATAGCGTGGAGGTCGCTTCTGGTTGTCTGCGTCATCACGATCGACACATTCTGAGCAGCAAAGTTGACGGATGACGTCATCCCCGGGAACGGATGACGTCACCGCTGGCCCGCTCCCAGTCATGTGTTGCGTAAGAGCGGCAACAGGCCGGTGACTTACTGCGGGCCATCAGCCTGTGGGAGGCGCGCATGCCGGCGCTAACCCGATTCAGGCGCGCGCCAGAGCCGTCTCCTGAAAGCCTCGCTCTCCGACCAGCACTCGGCACCTCCCGTCAGGGTGGTAACAAGCCCCCCCCAAGGTCGGCGCTGGGCGCTGAGCCGCAGTATTCGTCTGTTCCCGACCACATGCCCGTCATGAACTCAATCGTTGAAACATTACTATTGATTTGTAATGATGCGCTACCCTTTGATTAGGGATGTGGGATCGAGGCTGATTAGTCGAGATCGATGGTGGCGCCGGGTCCGCGGGCCGAAGGACGCCGCCGGCCGGGGTCGCCAGGACTGGCCGCGTGGGCGGGGCGCCGCGGGGCGGGCGGGCGGCGGCCGGGGGTCGCCAGGACTGGCCGCGGGGGCGAGCGGCCCGCTCAGACAGCGCCGCTGACCGGCCGGCCGGCCATCGCCGGGCCGATGTCCACCGCCAGAGGGAAGCAGGGGCGCCGGCCGAGGGGAGCGGAGAGGGAGACGCTGAGCTGCCCGGAGGGGAGGGCGGGCCGAGGTGTGCTGGCACCGGCCCGGCGGCAGGAGTGGAGGTGTGAGAGGCAGCCGGTCGCGAGGACGAAGGGTGCGCCGTAGACGGATAGGAGATGGACGTAGGCGGAGCAGAGCGAGGGAGACTAAGGAAGAAGACTGAGCTGCAGGATAAAGAGAGTAAAAATACATTGCTGAGAAACTGACCTTTGATAGGAGTCGTTCCGACCCTGTATGATATGAGGACATTTCGCCGGGCGACGCTCGGGCCCAGGGCTCCGTTTGTAATCTATAAATGGCCGACAAAGAGCGCGCGCCTGTCAGCAAAAACTGACCTCGTTCCGACGCGGGCCTGGATCCATCGCAAGTGGGGGCCTGTGTCCGTGAGGTCCGGGATGACGGATCCATCGAAGATGTTGGTCTGTATGCGCTTGGAGTCGGGGCCCGGGCAGGGCAGGAGATGGGTGATCACTTCATGGGATGTGGATGTCTAGATCCATTCGAGGTGAGTGGTTTGGCTGGAGACGGGATCCTGAATCCATGACATGCATGGACCTGGGCTCGTCGGAGATGACATTTGGAATAATTCAGAAATGGAGTTATGAGATAGAGTCATCTGCAGTTCATCGGAGATCGTTTTCTGATTCGATCAAAGATAAGCCCTGGATCCATCGGATATGGGCTTCTAAATCGTATGAAATGAGGCTCGGGTCCATCGGAGGTGGTTTTCTGAATTCATCAGAGATTGAGTCTGCGCTAATCGAGGGTGACATTCATATAATCGGAGGTGGAGTCCTTAACTCACCGGGGTGGGTATACAGAACCAACCTGTAATGGCGTCTTTGAATGCATAACCAAGTGGAGGTGACTCCGGCCCGGTATTCGTGAGTCGATGCAGAGTATTGTAAACTACCTCCGTTCAGCCTGCTTGCGGTGCGGTCACCAGCTGTTGTGACGCAGACGACGGCCACAAGCTAACAACCCTCGGACACTGTGACCTGGCGTTGTGCGCCCGGACGTGGTGCAGACGATGACATTGGCCCTCCCATGTGAGCTGACATCGACCTCCCTGCGGGCCAGCAGCAGATGATGCTGCACACCAGCTGGCGGGCGGCGGCGGCTGCAGCCAGCCAGATGCCGCCCATGTCCGACGGCCTACGGCAATCCCCTGGCGGGCTTCGGCAACAGCGAGTCCATTCAGGTGCGTGGTGATAGCGGCGGATTCGTCGGCGCGCTGAACGCCTTACTTCGCTTTTCGACGCCTTGTTGATATACCGGCCGGCCATCTCGCTTGTTTAAATGACCGGAGCGCATTGATAGGGCGTATTCACTCTGTCACAGCACTAGACGAAGCTTGTTAGATGCCTTGGATTTCATCCTATGCCGCCTAAGGTCTGACGCGCAAGAGTCCAGCGCACTGGATTGAGAAACATAACGAAACCGCTCGACGTAAGGAATATACAGGTGTATTCAGACCGCATTTGACTGCTTGTTAGGCACCTTATATAAGGCATTTGGTCGTCGTGGAAACTCAGCCTCAGTCAAAGGGCCGCGTTGGGAACTACAGCACAGATCAATGTCCAACTTGGGCTGACATTCTTTTGACCGATGCCTGAGTTCTTTCCACGTCGGTGGGCGTTGCTCTCTCTCTCCACTCGGAGAGCATTCTCACTGTTGCTGACTAGGCCCGGAGTTTTGCTCTTGCTTTTTTGCTGCCGTGCACGACAATCGATTTCAGAATTCTAACGCCATAGATCCCTTAATGATCCCTTAACCAGAAATTCACACGCCATGATTTGATAACTGTGGTAAATGCTGGTCTAACGCTATGAAAGTGTTCAGATGTGGTACAGTGTTGGACACCGTCCCTACCAACTGTGTTGATATTTACTTGAATGCTCGGCCACTTATCCCTCCAGCCATCGCCAGTTAGTGCTTGAACTGTGACGGTTCTGTCGATGGACAGTCGTTGGCGACGTGTGCAGCTGCAGTACAGGCCATCGCCAGCTAGGTGCTTTAACCGTGACGGCTCTGTCGACGGACAGTCGTTGGCGGCGTGTGCAAGCTGCAGTACAGCCATCGCCAGCTAGTGCTTTAATCGTGACGGCTCTTGTCGATGGACAGTCGTTGGCGGCGTATGCAGCTGCAGCGCGCCAGCGTATGCTCATCCATGCTGAGCTTTCCCGTCGCGACCCTCCAGCATCTTTGTATCGGATTGCTCTTTGTGCGCCAGCTTGCCAGCGCGCTCCGCTCATGCCAGCCGGCACTGGACTCCAAATAGTTTCAGGCAACAGGATGCCGACGGCTGGAGGAATAACGAGGACGAGCGCTGGTCCACGTCACGAAGGTGCTTCATGATCCACGTTTTAGGACATATTAAAACGCTTCGTGAAATTGGGTGGTACCATACCAGATGCAGCTGTACGGGGCAATACAAATTATTGCTGGCAGCACAGGCTTCCTTGACATGTGCAAGTACCTGCATAACATCAAGTGATATACACAACAGGCGTTGACAATAGGCGATAATCAAGTGGGCATGGCAGTTCCGTTGTTATAAGAAATAATCAACCTGAAACAACTTTAAGCAAACGTGGCCAATCGTGATTTTCCAGAAAAGCAACTGTTTTACACAGTCGCAGTATGCCTTTAAGAAAGCTCACGATGTTCCGAAGGCAAAAGTCAGTGCATGTGGTCGCTATGATATTCTCCCCAGAGTCTCTTTGCGGCCCTCCCGGGACGTTTGGGTGGTAGCTAGAGACCAGGGCCAGTGATCATGGCGGCCACTGCCGTGTTATCTCGTGGTGGGCCCTCGACGCCCACCCTGTCCAGCAGGCTCTGCTGTCGGCGCGTCCAAACGCAGCGGCTAGCACCAGCATGCAGACGCTGCGCAGCAGCTGCAGCCAGTTCATGATGATGAGCCCGGCCGGAGGCAACAGTCCACCTGTCGGGCGCAGCAGCCTGGTTCCTGCAGGAACCAGGTGTGTGCCCGGCCGAGCCGGCGGGTGTCGGGCCCGTCCGCACAGCGTCACGGAGCAAACCCCGAGGGATGCCCCGGGCAGGGCCGCCCCTAATGTCAGCGCTGCATTTCGCCCGTTTGAGTTATCAGTGTCATGCACGCACGACCCCCCACCGACAGTGGTACTTGTCAACCACTTTGCTGTGTACAGGTAGCCTTGTGAGGTACGGTACAGAAAACTTTTCGTGAAGCCACCGCTGTCTATAGGTGATCAAAGAAAGCTAGATTTTGACTCTGTTTGTGCCTCCAGCACCCTAATTTTGTTTGCAGGCTTTGTTGCTATTTCTGTGCTCATTTCTGCGCGCGAGAATTAAACAATGTTGGGTTGGAGCACTCAAACAATCGCTTGCATTTTGTGACGCAGGTGGACAGCTGCGTCATTCAGCGGGTCCCGGGTTCCCCAGCACGCGTTGCCACCGCGCGTGAAGCCGGACGGCCGCCGCTGAGCTCCTGCGCCGCTACGGTGCAGCACGGAGACGGTGCGGCCGCCGCCCCAGGTGTTGGCACCTGTCCGGAGACGGCCCGGCCTGCCCGGCCCGGTCCGCTCGCCTCCATTACTGTCGTACCTGTCGCAGAGTTCCAACCAGCACACTCCAGCCACCCGACAGGCTAACGAAATTTAAGGCGGGCGTAAATTCAGTCGGCGTCACCGCCTTTCAGCGCGGCGCCGGCAACCAATTCATCTAGCCGGCCGGCCGAGCGCGCGCGCGCGCCCGCCAAACACATTGCCGCCGGCGCTGCGCCGCGGCGCATCAATACTCCCATATTGAAGACAGTTGCACGACACAAATGGCCTCCGCGGCGATAAATTCGGATGGACGGCGGACTGCGAATTCAGCGGCGCTCCTGCTTGAATGCGCGCGTCTGCTTGGACAGGGCGGCCGGCGCCGAGGAGCTCACCCCGCACCTCTGCGCCCCCCGCGCCGCTCAGCCGTCCGCGCCGGGGGGGGAATAATGAGGCAGGGCGCGGGGGGCGCGAGATTCAATGAGTTACGAGCGGCGGCCGGCTGATAAACGCATGCTAATTCAGCGTGCCGTCTTGAAATATTGACCTTTGGGGAGATGCGTCCGGCCGAAATGTATTCACGCTGCTGAATGGCCGCCTCGACCAACAAAGGGCCCGCCGGCGACCATAAAGGCACCCTCGGCCGGACCTATTTCGTAGGCCATAATGCAGCCGGTGGACGACCGCGTGATGCAGCGGAGGGGAGGCCGGCCGCGCCAGAGCGGCAGTTTGCATTTTGGCCGCGAAAAACAAGCCCGGCGCGACGCTCTGATGAAAAAAGACGTGCTTTTGAGAGCTGCCCGACTGGTAAAACAGGAAATGCCGCTCAAAGCCAAGCGGATTACATGTAAAGATGCTTTGCACCCTCTACCGAAGAGGATTTATGCTCATGCAAATGTGCAAAGCTTATCTACGGCTATCAAAAGATTACATCTCGCAGACAATGCCCCCTGGGGATGGCCGACGGCAAATGGGATAGAGGGGCCGTGGATCGTTGTTGGCGTTCGCGAGATCAAAAATGGGAAGCTAGAATGGTGTTTGTTGTGTTCGGGGAGGGTCGGACATTACAGCAACACAGGCGCACAGGGAGCGGGGCTTACAGGCTTACTGCAGATCATGATGGATAACTCATTTCTTGCGATCGAACGTAAGAAGTAACAATGAAAGTACACACTTGGAAAGTCATAAGCAACGCGGACAATCTAGACTCCTAGCCTTCTCCGGTGCCTGTCTGTGGGATTGGGGTGTTGTCGAGGGCATTTAGAGAAGGGGAACAAAAGCAGCGACAGTTTACGTCATTAACTAAGAAGCATGACGTAAACTGGTACGAATACTGGCGTAACACCCGACAATTGCTTACGCCATTGGGCCGTGATTAAACCCCCCACTCTGTGCCGCGAGTGTGCGCCAATGTTCGTTGAAAAATACAGACTTTGCCGGAGCCTGTTCTGCAAAGAGCACATTGCACAAGTTTTTTTTCTTAGAACAATACATGCCCTGGAGAACATAATGGAATCGATATCATTCCATTGCTGATATGGTTGTCTTAATGTTCCCGTTGGTCGCTGCGGTTTATTAGTTTTTACATTGGACCTGTCCATCAGGGTCTACTGCCGTCTGGCCTGCTGCCGCCCGGCCTGCAGGGGTTTCGCCCACCGTCAGCCACCGCCCAGGTGGCGCAGGTGCAGCAGCTGGCGCAGGCGGCGCAGCAGCTGCAGCAGCTGCAGAAGCAGCGGCAGCTGGCGCCGCCGGCGGCCCAGCCCTCCGCCGCCGGGCGCGCTGCGGCACGCGTTGCCGGCGGCGGCGCCGGGCGCACGCCTGCTGCCGCTGCCGGGCGCGGTCAGCCCGCACGGCCCGCCGCCGCCGCCGCCGCAGACCATCGCGCGGCGCTACACGGAGCCGCCGCCAGAGGAGGCCACCGACCTCGAGGAGCTCGAACAGTTCGCCAAGACGTTCAAGCAGCGTCGCATCAAACTCGGTGGGTGGCGAGCGCCGCAGCTTGGAGCGCAAGGAGGGGAGAACTGCACAAACAGAGGGCAGCGGAGAAGATGAGGAAAGCAAACCTAGTCGTTGCTGTCTTCGAGGCTTCAGACTTTGGAGGCCAAAAGCTGACGGAGACGCGGTCAATTTCGGTGATGATACTGATGACTCGGTTGTTGGTGATGTTTCATTATGACTTGACGGCTTTGGCAGGAAGCTGGAATGCGCTGACAGATAGGTTATTGCTTTCTATCGATCTTAATTACTCACCGTAACTAGGAATCTTTCGTCACTGTGACTAGCATCGTCATTATTCTAAACGTGCAGGATACACTGATGTTTAGAGAATTGCAGAGATGTCGAATAAAGATCCTTTTTTATTTCAGGATTTACGCAGGGCGATGTTGGCCTGGCTATGGGGAAAATGTACGGCAATGACTTCTCCCAGACCACCATCTCTCGCTTCGAAGCACTCAACCTCAGCTTCAAAAACATGTGCAAGTTGAAACCGCTCCTGCAAAAATGGCTGGCAGACGCCGATAGTTCGATGTCCAGGTGCGCACCAGTTCAGCCAACCCAGCCACGGGCTGCGCTGCAAAATGCAGCGTGTGCTTTGAACAGATCTGCACGCGACTCAGTCATCAGTGCCCGTGATATACTTGGAGACTGACGCAGCACCCGAAAATGAGTTCGGTCCCCGCCGCCCTTATGACCTGTTGGATTTTCTATATTCAGTCGACAAACACTAGGGATAAATACAAAAGGGAATGTTCCGGATGGAAAATTATTCTGAAGCGTTCCTGGCACTCACCGTGCACTGAAAACAGTTGTCAACGAAAGCTCTCGCGCGCGTCACGCGTGTGTGTCTATTACTGTTACTGATCACTTACTCATCATCATCAGTTACTGATCACTTCAAGTAATAGAACAACTTCCACTTCTATTTCACCTTCGACCAGCCCCGTAATTTGTGATCCTTCCAGCGACATCTAACCTTGATGCGTCAACAAGCAGTCACTCCGTAACCCGTGACACCGATCTGCCGGCAATCCTTTGCTCCTGGTGACGTGCCTATGACCTGTGACCCCGGCCCACTGTCGGTCAGTTGCTCCCTGCTACCTGTGCCCCTGTCTGAGACCTATGACCCCTGCCGCCGCCAGTCCGTCGCACGTGACACCGCCGCACAGCACGGCCGACTCGATGGGCCGCCGCCGCAAGAAGCGCACCTCGATCGAGACGGGCGTACGCGTGGCTCTGGAGCGCGCCTTCCTGCACAACCCAAAGCCCACTTCGGAGGAGATCTCCATGCTGGGCCGCTCGCTCTGCATGGAAAAGGAGGTGGTGCGCGTCTGGTTCTGCAACCGGTAAGCCCACCAGCGCCACACAGCGCCCTGTGTCTGAAAGGACGCCACCAGTCGTCCGATGTCGCCATTCGCCTTATGCTGACGTAGACTTGTCCGACATTGTGCGCTTATGCAAGCAGTCAGTGCGTGTTGTGCTCCGAACGGCTTTCAGCGGATGACATTTTATATTTTGCGGGTCCAAGTCTTGTTCCTTGGCCCTAATCAGACCCTTGGCCTACTATAGGCCATTCGCTGCGCCCCCGACGCAGTGCTGCGGTGTGGTCTGTGACCTGCCGGGCAAGGCAGCCGCCGCCGACCGCCGTGTACGAGTAACGTCGCCTTTGTTACAGTAGACAGAAACAGAAGCGCATCAGCACGCCGACAGCGTCGATGGGCTCGCCGCAGCCGGCGTTCCCGGCCTACTCCAGCGCCAACTCCGCCGGCTCGGTGCCGTCGCCCAACTCGCTGCCGTCGCCCATCTCGCCGCCGCTATCGTCGCCGCTGCCGCTGGTCACCTCGCCCCAGTACGCCACCGCGCCGTCTCCCGGCAGCCAGCCCTACAAGGACTGACCCGTGCTGGGCTGGGCTGAGCCGGGCCCGAGTCGGGCCGGCCGGTCCGAGGCCGCCTCGCCTCCGGACCAGCCCAGCCTCGAGCCGACGCCGCCGCCCCCCCGGCCGCGATCTGGACTCGTCCGCGTCGGCGCTAGACCATGCTCTCGACGCAGCGGCGGCGGCGCGCTACAGCTTGGACTCGCCCGCGCAGGGGGCGGAACGCTCCCCGCCCCGAATCCACGGCCTGGCCGCCGGCACGCTCCAGCCTCCCGCGTTCAGCAAGGATTCCCCCCCGCTGCCCACCGAACACAGCTTCGACGATTCCGAGGTGTCCGGCTTCAACTTGAACTCATTCGGAGCGAGGCCGGAGCGCAGCTACGACCCAGCCGTGTGCGGCACGCCGCGCCCGCCGCCCGCCGCCGGACACGTGCCGGGGTACGGCGCGCCTGAGCCGGAGCACGCCCGGGCCGTACTGCCGCGCGACTACGGCGCCGACGCCGCGCGCCGCCACTTCCTGTCGCTCGGGTACGACGCGGACCTGCTGCGCCCGCCGGCCGGCGCCGTCCGCGGCTACAGCCACGGCTACGGCGGGCCGCTGCCGCGGCCGCCGGCCGGCCTGCCGCGGCACGACTACGGCGGCGGTGGGCCTCGGGGCGGGCCGGAGGGCGCGGCCGCGTCCGAGCGACCTGCCATACCGCCCGGCCACTGGCAGACCTAGACGGACACGCCCGGCCGGCCGGCGCGGAGGCGGCCGCCGTGGGCGACAGGAGGGCACGGCCGTCGGAGCAGCCTTCGAAGGGGCCATCGAGAGCCATCCGAAGGCGGCCCTGAGGAGAGCCGTCCGAGGGGATCGCCGAGCGGGGCCCCTGCAGGAAACTGCCGCAGGGAGCCGTCGAGGGAGCCGCCGGCGACGTCGTTGGCGCCGCGGCTCGCCCTCCGCCCCACCGGTGATAGACGCACAGACTCACCGCTCTGAGCGGGGTCTATAAAGGACAGAGGGAGGCAGAGGCAGCAGTGGGGCCGCCGCCGCCTGTCTTCCAGGGCCGGGCCGGGTCGGCATCAGCGCGGACGGCCCACTCCGAGGGCACACCAGTTCCTATTTTGTATTAACTTATCACGTGACGTCGACCGCTGGCGACGGATAAGCTCAATACGAAGCGCACGCGCGAACCTAGTTGGATTATGCTATACGCCCTGTAGATAGTTCCGATATGTTTCCGTGTGCATGTGCTGGAGCGAGTTCAGAGGGACCACAGGGCCCCCGAGGGCCCCGATCCCGCCCTGATAGACCAGCGAGTCCTCCTCGGCCGCTCCGGCCCTCCGTTGTTCACTGGCCGGTGTCTCCCGGGGACGGTGTGCGGCGTGCGGGGCCCGTGATCACTGTCGTGGCCGCGTGCCCGTGTCCCTGCGCGTGCGCGTGTGAGAGAGGCGGCCGCCCGAGCCGGCCTGCGCGCCACCAGCGCCGCTTCAGTGTACAACCCGTCGTGTTGTGTGTTCCGGAAGGGTGGCGGCCGCTCGCGCGCGGCCGGGCGTCTGGCAGCGGAGGCGACCGCGGCCGCCCGCACTCCACTAGTCGCTTTGCTCAGGTTACACGGAACAGCACGCGCGCCCTCACGCTCCGCGTACAACGATTTCGTTCTGTTCCACGGGTTCGGTAGGGTTACGTTGTACCTGTATCTCAGATCAGTTCCAGGGGTGTGCTGTCAACAGTCGGCCACCCGTCCGTGTTCCGGTAGAGTGTGGTAGAGTCCCATCTGGAGAGCCGCTTCGGCCGAGGGTTGAGCGCGCGCGCGAGCGACTGGGTGTGGGTCCGGGCGTGTTCGTGTATATACATGTGGATATTTTTGTAAAGTGTTCTGTAGTCGAGCCGCGTCGTTGACGTATTTACAGGGTGTTTAGTTTTTTCCTGGATGATCACTCAGTGATCCAGTGTTTGACGGTGGTTACACCGTGTTAATTCTAAAATTAACTATATTACGCTAGGAGACTGTTGTAATGACGGTGTTGATTACAGTGAGTGTAAACAGCGTCATCGTGCTTTGTTAATTATTTTGTAGACACACGAAATACAAAACTGTACCGTCACTTGCGTTTTAAAGTTAACAGCTCGCATTAAGCAAATGGAGCATGTGGTCTTTAAAATGACGGTCACTATCTACGCCGCAACAAAAACAACGTATTCAGATGGAGCATGTGTACACGACAGCGGAATCGTATTACGGTTCGTCACCTCGATGTCGATCAAAGCATAAGCAAACATAACATAACGTTTAAGCTCACTTTCGCGCGCTTCCTGCATTGTCGCAGTTCCCCGGGGACGCCTCACTGCAGCAGTTGCTGCCCCGCTGCGGCTGCCGCGAGGCCTTGGTCGCTCGCGCCACCTAGCGGTGACCGGCGGCCGGCGGGGGCGGAGCATGTCGGCTGTGCTCCGCCAGGATTGGCCGTGACGTGGTGGAGAGGAGGCGGGGCGCCGCTGCGGCCGCCGGCTTCGGCTGCGGCGGCGGTGGCGACTCCAGCAGGGCGTCCAGCTCGTCCGGGGAGGCGACGCGAGCCTCAGGAGAGGCCTCGGTCGGCCGGCAGCCCCGCCCCGCCGCCCGGCACACGGCCACGGAGCGCCCCACCACGTAGCAGACACCGAACACTGCGGCAAACGGTGCGTACATCCCCGTGACAGATGACGGACACGGAGACAGGTCGCGGACACTGTGTCAAATGACGGACACGGAGATAGGTCTCGGCCACTGTGACAGATGACGGACGCTTACAGGAAATGTACACTAACAAATGACTCATTCTGGCAGGCGACATACTTTGACAGATCTGAGGCATTTGCGATTAATGACGGATGCTAACAGATGACAGACACTGGGACAAATGGCCGAAACTGTAACAGGAGGTGACTGTTACAGAGGGAGCTGCGGTGAGTTTAGGAATGGGCGAACCCCTGAAGACCCTAGAGGCTACCCGGCTCCGCCGATAAGCGTCTAGCGCTCTTTCCTGTAAACTGTGTTTTTACTATAAACTTCAGTTCTTGACAGTTCAAGGTGTCAAGGCTCTCTTTCCTAGAATACAAGTTTCAGGGCCTGTGGCTCTGAGAGCAACAGCATTCAGATCTCTGAGTGGTGCTTCAAAGTCGTTCATCCTGCCAGTCTTCGCGGCATTGACGGATATCTGTCCTTCCATATGCAAGCAGCGCACTAGTGAGACGCGTTGCTTGGCGCGGGACGAGCGGAGCCGTAACATCTGTGAATGTTGTCAGTTTGCGTGTAGATGGCACTAACAGTTAAGCTTGTGAAGCCAAACACATCCGGCAACTGATACCAGAAGCTTCCATCAATGCGTTGCCAGGCATACTTCCCATGAACGTGTAACAGGCGGAGGTCAGATGGTGCAGTATTAGCGCATCAACTCACAATCACTGCAGTACTCGCGCATCAATTCACAAGCACTGCAGTACTCGCGCATCAACTCACAATCACTGCAGTACTCGCGCATCAATTCACAAGCACTGCAGTACTCGCGCATCAATTCACAAGCACTGCTCCCGAAAGAGGGCTGGTTATCAGGCAGCTTAGGCTCGGAAATTATAGTGAATTACGGCCTTTGCAACTGCAACCAAGGCATTGAAAAACGCAAATATGTGAAATGAATATTGAGCACAGCAGGCAGGGCTATGTGCAGATCAGTTAGCAAAGTGCAGCTAATACATTCGCCTACATCGTGCAGCTGGTCTCACTGCTCCAGTTCCTCTGGTTGCTGAGAGCTGCAGTTGGTTCCAGTACTCCAGCTCCTCTGTTTGCTGAGATCAGCAGCTGGTTCCACTGCCTCAGCTGTTCTGGTTGCTGAGATCCGCAGCTGGTCCCACTTCTTCAGCTGCTCTGGCTGCTGAGAGCTGCAGTTAGTTTCACATCTTCAGCTGTTATGGTTGTTGAGATCCGCAGTTAGTTTCAGGTCTTCAGCTGTTCTGGTTACTGAGATCTGCAGTTGGTTTCACGTCTTCAGCTGTTCTGGTTACTGAGATCCGCAGTTGGTTTCACGTCTTCAGCTGTTATGTTTGCAAAGATCTGCAGTTGGTTTCACAGCTTCAGCTGTTCTGGTTGCTAAGATCTGCAGTTGGTTTCACGGCTTCAGCTGTTCTGGTTGCTGAGATTCGCAGTTGGCTTCACGCTATCTGGACTGGTTGCCGTGCACGACACCAATCCTTAAAGGCGCCACAGAACAGGTGGATCCATGGGCGTGCACGGAAATGGACGACGGTTTGCGAACATCAATTTGCATTTTTGGCTATGTGATTGCCCGTTTTCTCGTTATCGTCGTCGTTCAGGCCTCGAATCGGCTCCATTTCTTCCGTTTTTGTTTGCAATTTGAAGATTCTACCTTTTCCATCTCAACACTATGCGATGGGGGAGGTGAAATCGCAGTGATCTTGTGATGTTGCAGGAACAATCGTCTGACCTGACAGACTGCGAATGCCTGGCAGTTTACATAGCGGAACATTTCAAGAACTTGGCATCTTGTGCTTTATACGTCCACACGACCCCGCAATCAGTGGTTGCAAAGGTATCAGCTTCCAGAAAGTGTGACGGCGGCGTCGGGCCGCTCGGGTAGAAACTTGTATCATAGCTCAAGACCAGCCCGGCGTACGGCCTCGCTCGCAGCAATCCTTGGTGGTAACCATTGTCTAATCCGTCCGCAAAGTCGGCAATCCTTTAGCAGCGTCCGTTTCGCCCAGCATCTGTTCTCGTCATAGCTGGCGTGGTTCGGTTCGCCAGCCCGTCTGGCTTCTGATGTCCGTCGATCCCCACATGTCTGGAGACCCACTGAAGGCTGACATATTTGATTTGCTTTTATTTATAATTTGCTCTTAACTGCGGCGTGCCGCAGCAGCGCCCAGACCTCTGGCCCAGCACAGATGTCCGCTCTACGGGCCTCCGGGGAGCGGTTGTAGCCCGGGCCGAGGGTCCGCGCAGAGGCGGATCTCCTTGATCCCGCTCGCCGCGGAGTTCGGCAGGCGCGCACCTACGTGCAAAGCCCGCCTCGTTGCGGTTAGCTCCGCACGGAGGCTGCTGCATGCTGTCCCCTCCTCCGCCGCACACTGCACAGACCGGCCCCTGTGAAGCAGCTTACTGACGGCCCCTCCTCCTCCGCTCCTCACGCCCCCCCCCCCCCCCCCCCCCCAACGCCCCCTCCTCCCTCGACTGACCCGCCTGACCATACAGTACGATCCGACGCTGGGAGAGCCCGCAGTATGCCGGCTCCCGCTAAGCCCCTGACGTGCGGCGGGTCTGCCCTCTCAGTGACCCGGGTACATCGTGCCGGTCGGGTCCTCTCATGGGGCTTCGCCGGGCACCGAGCCGCTTCGCTTCGGACTGGCCAATGCTCGCGAGGCGGCCCATCCACTGCCGTCCTCGTCTGAGGCACGGGTTGTGATGGAACGCCATGCGTTCATCCGGGGGCTTCGGTGGTGGTCGTCCCTGTGCAGGGGCCGTGGCTTATGCCCTCTCCCGCCACGCTAGATGGAACCGGTACTTGGACCTCGATGCGCTCCCGGTGCAGGTGGCCGCAAATGATCTCATCCTCCACACCGGTGTCGCTCCGCATTTCGCACCATGCAGACCACACCGACATGTTGTTGTCAGGAACAGAGTCCCTGTCCGACTCACCACATATTCAGCATTACAGGTCTGACTACCCGCTGTTGGCGTCGGATAAGACAGCGGGGACAGGGGCGCGGGGCAACGGGGGCGACCGCTCCGAAAGTTTTTAAAGATGATTCACCCTACGACACTGTATAAGGATTCAATCGCTATAATTAAATCATGAATATGACCTAATGAGTCATACCGGATGCTCAGAAGATAATTTTGCCTGCCAGTTGAGGTCCTGTATGCATCAATAAAGCTCAAGGAGTTAATACTTCGCACGGAAGAAGTAATCAAGTACGCGCTGATAGCGCAGCCCACGCTCAGACCACGGTCAGCGCACGCTCAGACCACGGTCAGCGCTCGCTAAGACCGCGGTCAGCGCTCGCTAAGACCGCGGTCAGCCCACAGCCAGCCCACGGTCAGCCCACAGCCAGCCCACGGTGGCTGTGGGCTGGCTGTGTCACTCCATGGTCAGTCCTTATAAGCGACCTTTCAAAAGCGCTAACACAATAATGAATCTGACGCATCAATGAAGTTCTAAGCACAACAGCATGGTCCAGTGCTTGTGGAGCGCCATACTCAGCATCCAGAGCTAACTGCTCATTACCAATACAACATTAGAAATGTTCACCGGATGGTGTGCGGTCGGATGTTAAAAAAAATAGGTTTTCAGAGTAGGAGCCGAGGACGCATCGGTAAGGCCTCAAATGATAGCACGGCTTCAGGCGATTGAAAAAGTAAGAAATTTTGTGAGAATCCTCTCCAAATCACAGATTTTGCAAAATGAAACAATCAGGGGCGGATCCAGGATTTCATCAAAGGGAGGTGGAGGGGGTGGGTGGGCACGAAACACTGTAGGGCCCCTTAGAGTTTGGGGCACCCACTACAAATATGCTTTCATTCCGGCCATTCAATTTGCAGATAAATAGCATAAACATGTATATATATATATATATATATATATATATATATATATATATATATATATATATATATATATATGTGTGTGTGTGTGTGTGTGTGTGTGTGTGTGTGTGTGTGTGTGTGTGTGTGTGTGTGTGTGTAATGTGAATATATGTATATATGCATACATATATGTAGGAATAAACGGAAACCCATTGTTCTGTGCGCGGCCCTATTAAGTTAGATGTGTTACGTATGCACATACATGGAGCTCACTCATTTTCTATCAATTATGCTAAACCCTGGGATTTTAAAGCTACCTGTTTTGGAAAAAAACAGACGAAAGAAGTGCAAGTTGGCTAAGTACCATCAAAACCAAGAGCGAACTTCATTTCTAGCTTATTTACGGGTAGCTGACTGGACGATATAATCATCTGATGGCTGATAACTAATGCAGAATTTTTCCTTTGTCACAAAGGAGTGCACAATATGTTACCATTCAAAATATGCTAAGAACGTGATGCACAAGTATAATAAGTCACTTATTCAATAACCAAGGGAAATGACGCATACAACGTCAGCGGCGCGTCAAATTACGTTCGACAACTGCGCGTAAAAATTCATCGGCGCCTACCCGACGCTGCTCTAAGGCACCGATGTCAATAGGGACTAAACCTGGGCGATCATGAGTGCCGCAGGAGACGAACAAACAAGCTCCTGTCAACAAGCATAGGGTCCTCAGAGCAAGCAAAAAGAATCCGAGACCCACGTGGTGTGCCCCTAAACGACCGGTGTACTCCGGCAGGCTGACATATAAGGCCCCGGCCAGAGCACATGACCCTCTGAGCAAAAGAGAATTACCCAAGACCATGAATTGATATCCCTCTGCGATCAAGAGCACCCCGGCAGGTAACAGCAAGAGCCTTGACAGGAGTACAGAGTTCTCCCAAAATAAAGTCAAAGGGAAAGAGCCCTAAATCAAAGTGGGGGGGGGGGGGGGGGCCTAAGCATCAAGTGTCTCGGTGCCTTATCATAAGTAAGCTCTAGCAACAGCACACGGTTCACCGAGCAAGTGTTTAGAACCCGATACTAATATGATGGGCCCTTGAGCAACTACGTGTACCCTGGTATATGAGGCCCCGGAAAAAGATGTACAGAGCCTTTCGGGAGAGCGGGAAAAATCCGTAGAGGAAAACCTGATCGATCAAAAGTGTCCAGGCATAAGAGCAAATAGCGCCCCAGCAGCAGCATTGGGTCCCACGAGAAAATGCAAAGAGATCAGGGGCAATATATATGGGACCCCGGCTATAGCTCACAGAACCATTCTGACGAATAAAAATAATCCGTGGAAAGCCCCTGATTGACAAAAGCGCCTGGGCACACCAGCAGGAAAGGCACAGCAACAGTGCAGGGCCCTCCGAGCAAACACAAAGAAGCCAAGGGAACGTGGAAGGCTCCTTCACGATCGGATTAACCCTGCAAGCGGGCATATAGGTCCCACGAAAACAGCATAGGGTCCCTGGACAGCATAATAAGGCTTAGCATTTCCAATTACTAACTTTTTCAATAATTGTAAATCTTTCTCCCTTCTCGTTGGCCGTTCACTTTCGCTTGCACCTGTTCTTGGTGGCTTGGAAATCCAAAGATGTCCAATTTTGTTGCGTTTTGCGATAAAAAACTATATCTGGTCGTCAATATGGGCCCCTTCGGAGCCTATGGGGCCCTTCGGGGCCCAGGGGGGGGGGAGCTAAGGCCCCGTGGTCACCCCCTCTAGACTCGCCTTGGCAACCATAACGCATAAAACGACTCGCACAACGAAGTAAATACCTAAAACGACACGGACTTGGCTGGCCCACACGATGTGTCGTGTTTTTGGTTGGCATTGATCCATTCGAAGACACATAGCCGGGCATGCATTAATCGCCCTTAGGGCCATCTGATTGTTCTTACGATTTGTAAAAAAACAAAAAAAAAACAATTTGCATCAAATGCATCGACTCGCATTTAGCGCGAACCCTGTAACAAGCTCATCAAAAACTCCTCTTTAAGCTATACCGTCACGCACGAGTTAAGAGCTTCGGGAATCGGCTTATATGCGTTGTTGCTCTTTGCTGGTTGCTGACAACACGACAGTCTAGGTCAATGTTTCTGCACAGGTGCTCTATGTGAGCTCTGTTTTTATCAGCCATCTTTGTGTCATAAATTGGGTATTATCAACCAAACACACGCCCTTGCAGGAAATGAGCATGCACAATTAGGGCTCTCAACAAGGATGAGGGTGAGAATTCTCATTAGAATAGAAATCTTACCGAATCTGGACTAGTTCCCACGTCTTCTGCATGGTGATAAAAAGGCTGGAAAGCTACTCCCTTTTAAGGTACATTACCTTTGGAAATCTGCGAAAGTGAGGTTCACCTGACGATTTATCTCCCATCGGACTTACGTATTGATTGCTTTAGAGATGCATTTAAGTCACGTGGCGCCCCATTTACCATGCGTGCAAGAATTGGTACATGAACCTGGCCTCATGCCTGGATCAGCTGGTCGCACGAGACCGTCACCCCCACGTGACAGCCTCGGTTGGTCGCGCGGGCGTCGTGAACGAAGCACGACTCCTGGCACTTAATCGTGAGATTAATCCGTGCTGCGGTCTAAACCATCGCAAACGACACGGTTCTGGGCGTACCACAAACAGCGAGCGCTGAGCGTTACGTCCGCGGCGGCCGTCTCCGGCGTCGGCCCGGCACGGGTGACCTCATTCGGAGCCGCACGCCACGACGAGCCGCTTTGGCCCACATGAACACCTCGCAAGCAAGATGCTCGAACATCCGTGAGGCGACGTGAGGTACACCACTGTGTTGGTGTTACGCGTTATAGAATATAGAATATAGATTATATATATATATATATATATATATATATATATATATATATATATATACAATATAGAATATGGAAGAGCGTTGCTGAATGTTCGAAACAAATGCAGCTCTGATGTCTTACGAGACATAGAGTAAGCGTGTTGGGTTTGCCATATTATATAGGGTCAGACGACACAAGTTCAAGTCCGGTTAGTTTTGAAAGTAATACTCCATGTAGTGGGCACATCCGCATATAAAGCGTTGTGTGTAAACTTCTTCACTCGTATGCGACCCAGCGGTGTTCAGGATGTAAGACAGATTCATTCACATGGCTTTCGAGTCAGCATGCTGCAAAGATGCTTCATATGCGCCATGACCGCACTTTGTAAAATTTTGCACTTATGCAAGGATTCCCAACCCATCCTTGGGTGAGAACACGGAACGCCCAGCCCAGCTTCCAAGCCAAGCCGTTTGCTCGACGTGCAGCCACCGATAACTAAAAATGGTCCAAAAATAACCAAAAATAACGGACATCGTGACGCCCAATCAAATTAAATTTCGTGGGAGGGTGAGAGAGGTGTGTGAGTTTTTTTATCAGCTTGTTACGAGTAGCCAATTGATGAGAGACATGATCGCACCCGGTATAATGTGCACTTCGCTTATGTTTCCCGCACCACCCTTCGGTCCACATGAACTTCTAAGCCCAAGGTGCGTGCCGGACGCTGTGTTTAATGTACCAATAATGCCTCCCTACATTACTGAAGTAGACCCAATACCTGTTCCTCAGTGCCTTTAGACCATTTCGCGCTAAATGGCCGGATCTGAGAGCCAAAGACATGTAAAATCACAAGGTCGGGCCGAATATTTGCCGTTAACTTTCTTTAAAAATTCATTTGGGAAGCAAAGCGCTACGTAAAAAAAGACTGCGTGTGTGCAGCTCTGAAAATTACGAGCGAGCATACAGGCAAAGCGAATTTCATCTGAACCATGAGAACATCTTCCACTTAGCTGCTGGGCACATCCCGACTGTAACAATTTCTAGAAGCTATCATCTTCGTAACCACTGCTCACATATTCACACTTTCCACATAAATGCAGCAGTCAGCACCAAACAAGTGCTGCTCCTTCCATGGGCAGGACGTGGGTTGGGCTTGAGCTGAGCAGCGAACGCACACGGAGTATATGAGTAGGCAAAAATATACCAAAATACTGATAAATCAACGGATGTGCATGCTTTCAAAATAGCCATTTTGGAGCAACAGGGATGTGCTTCTGACATCACCGGGCTAATATGGAGGACAATGTCAACCAGCGTGCCGCTGCTGACGGAGGGTGCCGGCTTAATGCCGCCCATCGGCAGCCGGCGCCCCCCCCCCCCCCCCTCGCTCTGACCTGCCAGCACGAACAGCAGGTAGGTGAAGACGGCTAGCGGCGAGTTGGCGCGCACGTGCAGCTGAACAGCCACCGACACCAGGATGGCGGCCGGCAGCAGCAGCACCAGTGACGTCACGGCGCAGAAGAAGAAGACGCGCGCGCGCACCTGGCGTCGCCGCCGGGCCGTCAGCTGCCGGCGGTGGGGCGGGCGGCTGAAGGCGACCGACACCAGGTGGAGGCTGGTGTGGGGGGGGGGGGGGGGGTGGCCTGACGGACTCATGCTACGCGCCCCGGCGCTTGGCAGGACCGGCCAGTTTGGGCGTGTCGTAAACAAAGTCGCAGGCGGGGAAAGTGTCGAGTCAAGCAGTGGGGAATCCGACAATTGCCGTCTATTTCATCGCTCAAGAAAACTGTTTGAAGGATGTCTTCCCAAGACCTCCAAGCACTGCTCTTTCGACAAAGCGCGATACACTGTGTCCCTAAGTGCCACAAAAGCATACACAAAACTTAGCAATGAGACCAAAGCTGAAAAATGTATGCGATCTGACATAAAAGGCCGGTCAGCAAAAGTCTGGCACTCCAAGATAACTAGACGAAAGTCAGGAGCACGTCGGCAAAATGCCGGAGAGCTATTCGGCCGGCTCGGCTGTGCTGACCTGTACAGCGGAGAGGTCGGCCAGGCTGGTGCTGAACACACCACGGTATGTGATTAGGTCGTCGTCAAAAGCCGACAGCCAGCCAGTGTCAGCCATTACGGCGACTGGCTGTTCCGCTGGCAACTCAGCGGCAATTTAACTGCTGATCGAGAAGCGTCCTTCTTTCATTGCGCGTTAGTGATTCGTAATAAGCAAGTTACAAAAAGAACATGATAAGCCAAGTTTCGCTTGCATTAAGCTGAACAGCGAACCTGCATGGTAAACAAACTAAAAAAGCAGGGAAGCAAAAAAGGAACTTAACGCAGTTGCGGAAAGTATCGTTTTATCTCGGCATGGCAACGTCAAGCGCACTACGAGATCCGTTACTTTTTAAGGCGTCGATTTTTTATCCTACGCGCAGCAGCTATATCATTTCAGGCAACTACCAAATCAGGAGAGGAATTTTTCGGGTCGCATCTATGTGATGATAACAAGCACTTCTGCTGCCACATCATTCGTCCCGCGTCGCAGCCAGCCACGGGTGCAGCCATGGGTGGACAACTACCGAGGGCAAACATCAGAAAGACGACAATGAATGGCCGACGCATGACCAACCTTCACGCATTGCATCACATATCCCCAGTCATCTATAATGTTCTTTGGTCTCGCCGGAGCTTCCCATGGTAATACATTGACGTACACCGTACCGGCTAAATATGGTAAGCGCAGCGGAAGCCCCAGGGGCGACCTCCAACTCCGCGAGGTAGAGCCCCCGTAGAACACTGGTCTCCAACTGCGCAGGCGGAGCCTCCTGAGGCCCTGGAGGCCTCCAACTGCGCAGGCGGGCCCCCTGAACCCCGGAGGCCTCCAACCGGTCAGGCGGGGCCCCTGAAGCCCTGGATACCTCCAACTGCGCAGGCGGAGCCCCCTGAAGCCCTAGAGGCCTCCAACTGCGCAGGTGGAGCCCTCTGATGCCGTCCCTGACGTAGCCCGGACGCGGCAGTACAGCGGCGGCGACTCCCATCCGTCTTGAGGGTGCATCATCGCTGGCCGCCGGTCCTGTGCCTCCCGACATCGGCAATCTCCACCATCCGGTCCTCTGACTCATCCCACACCCTCCGTATCTCGTGGATAAGCTGGCACTCTCCACCATCCGGTCCTCTGACTCATCCCACACCCTCCGTATCTCGTGGATACGCTGTTTGAAGTTCAAAGCTGAGATGACGACTAGGATGGTGCACAAATGCTCACGTTCTGTCAGCAGCCTGGACGTGGCAAACCAGCGGCACAAAGATAGCCCGATCCGAATGGGTTCCGGTTGCAGACGAGCCGCGTGGGAGGACTCGGCTAGACGACGTCAAAGTCTTCTCAACGTTATGAGCGTTCCCTGGTCTGTCGTTTCTGACAGGAAAAGCTCGCATGGACTTCCACCAAATTTTACTAACAAGCACCTACATGAGCGTAGTAGTGTATTTTCAAACTGCCCTAGCCCAACAAGTGTCCTGAAAAGGTCACGAAGTGCATCTCATGAAACCGCGGAATATACGACCCTGACGACATTACTCATTACAAAATTCATGTATTGTCTGTGGAAAACAACACTCGGAAATTCGAAGTTCGGTACAAAATCACATGAAAATCTGCACCCACCACTGCCAAAAATCGCCGCTACGAAGAGCGATTTCCCCACGTAACAACACCGCATCCGAACAAGCACAGCAACGTGAATGGCGCGACACCGCAACCGCCGCCACGCACTTCAACCACTCGACCAATCACCGGCCCGAATTCAGGGTGGTGTGCACCTGACCTTCGTAAGGTCACGCATTCGGCGAATCACCGTTACGAAGCGCAGCAGCCTCAGCGATCAGCGGCGCGGTGATCGCTTACAGTTCTCTTATACCAATAGCGCGCCTGTGGACGGCTACCGCTTCTTGGTGCGCGCCGTCTGCGGCAGGTTAATCTTCAGACGGCCGGGGAAGTTGCGCGTGACGTCCTCGAGCTTCAGCGACTTGACCAGATCGCGCTCCCGCGCCGAGGCTGCCTTGTCTGCGGCGAACACCTGCAGCGCCGTCTTGGCCGCCTTGCCTTTCTTGCCCGTGCTCGGCGTCAGCTTGACCTTGAACCTGCCGGACACATGACGCCTGACGATTAGCAACGTGGCGACGTGATGATACCCAGGTAGCTATCAACGACGACGGCCGGCACGTGAGTTTGCAGGAAATAAACCGTAAATATAACGAGTGAATGTAAACAGCGGATCATGCCAGGGCACGCTGGTGTTCACAGTCACGTGGAAGGCGGATATGCGGCAAAAAACGAATGTTGCCAGGTTCAAGGGAAGTGATATCCAGCTATCCATGCAGCGACATGCCGCACGGCATCAAACGAACCAAATCACAAAGGAAGGGGTTTCCGCAAGGCTTTGCTATACCGTCCCGCTGGCGTCAGCGTGTCAAGATGCATTCTCATCGCCTGCCTTCAGGGTAATTAGACAAATGCCAGTTCGCATCAGGAGATGAGGAATAAAAATTGTCTCCGAATGATTACATCCATGCATGTACACACTTTCGAAGCACAACCACATCATCAGCCTTGCGGAAAGCACGTCCTGTTCTGAACTCGCGGCGTTAACACGCCGCACAGGGAACCGTCTGGCTCTCAGTTGGCCGTCAGTATGATATGTTTGACTGAACGATTCTTAAACCGAAGCAGCGAGACAGACAATGTTGCGTCCGATTTTCTACGCCAGCTTGCCTGACTGGACTGTCAAAAGACACACAAGACTAAGCACAAGAGAGCGAGAGCGAGAGCAAGAGCAAGAGCAAGAGCAAGAGCAAGAGCAAGAGCAAGAGCAAGAGCAAGAGCAAGAGCGAGAGCGAGAGCGAGACAGAGACAGAGACAGAGACAGAGACAGAGACAGAGACAGAGACAGAGACAGGCAACACTCGGCTGATCGTCGCACACGTCATCATACAGGCGATATCATCGACATCCGCGGAAATTGACACAATCGGCCAATTGCGGTATCTACGCACAATCCGTAACCGGTGTAAGTCAAACGCATTATCCACGTTTTCGTATGATAAAAAAGAAACGAAAGGAAGGCCCCTGCCGCTTTCGTGTGGTGGGATTCCCAGCACAGCGAAGTCTCCCAGATGCGAGCGGCAGCTGACCGGAAACGCAATACGATCAAAACAGGCCCTATTGTCCACGCCTCGAGACCTCCCGTTTTGGACGGCAATCGCCTGGTGGTGCCGACGCTTTCCGGGCGGAGGGCTGACCTGGAGTCGCCATGCTCGGTCCGTCCGCGTCCAACAATATCGACGGGGCACTTCGCATCAGAAGGTGCCGACCAGGAGGGCAGGTGTGACAGTTGTCAGCTGTTGTCATGTGGACTGAGCTAATGGAGCTAAACACCTTTGGCGGCTGAGAGTAATGGGTTTCGTAAATGCGTGAGAAATCGCAGGGCGTTTCAAAAGAACTGATGAACTTGTGATGCTTTCTTGCCTTCGAATCCCGTGGGCTTGGGCCAAAAACAACTACTTTTTGTGAATGAGACACTTAGGAAATTATGTACCATCTCATGCTTTTCAACGTAACCAGTTACGACATCCTTGCAACGCCATGAAGTTTTAAGTCTTGTGACGACGCTGCGGTGTCACAGATGTGACCTTAGCGATTCTTCAGACAAGCTTTGATGCTTGAAACTAAATTTTCATCACTCTCTTGCATGCTGGATGCGACACAGATCTTCAGAACTCCTCTCAATGGCTTCTTGGAGCAGCACTGTGCGGTGACATTAATATAGACGTCGCCTTTCGCGCAGCTCCGCACAACGAAGTCAGATGGGTTCTAGCCGGCAGAACGTGGAATTCAGATGGGTTCTAGCCGGGACAATTTGGACACCAGGTATATTCTTTTTTTTGGGGGGGGGGATCATGCCCGCCAAAGCGTCCCGGAAATCTTCTCTGTGGTTTCCAGTAGAGTATCCCAGCGCAACACAGTGCTCTAAATGGCTTCATATTGTCAGCACCACTGACGATTAAATGTACCTGACCCCTGCGGGAGCGGCGAACTTTGAGCGTCTTGATAGTTCTCCCTATTCAATGTCACCGCCCTCACGTCGTCATCTTCCAACCAAAAGGGTCCCGTCGTGCCACGTTAACTCACGGCAGCCCAACGGCGCTCGCCTCTCTGCCATTGGGGCTTTACGACGCACCCAGCTGCTAAGGCTATGTGGTGTCGCCTGCCTCTCACCCTGGCAGGAAGGGCGGGCACCGCGGGGAATCGAACCCCGTGCCTCTGGTTTCTCAGATGCGCAGCGGTTAACGCAGACGCGTTAACCACTACACTACCGGCACCCCGGCACTAGCTTCTCCAGAGGTGGTGATTTTGGCTGTTGATCACGCACCTGAGGTGAGAGTGGGCCTCGTCTCCAAGCCCCACCTGATGGATTTAGCCTTCATCCGACTCCATCATCTGATTGAACCGTTGACACAGATCTATCCTCGCTCCTCTACCCGAGCCGGTCAGAAAGTGCTGGATGTGTACTTTGTACGCGCATGATTTTAAGCGATCCCATGTGATTCTCTGGACCGTGGTGAACTAGATTTCGAGTTCTAGCGGGCGCTGGCGACAGGAGTTCTCAGAACTTCGGACAACCGACGGTCTCACTGCACCTATGTTCTCCTTTGAATGTCCGGTTCTGATTTGTCATGACTTCCACATCACTAACAGTGCATTCCTCTCGAAACTTGATGTGTCTCACAAAGCGCTTGGTGGGCGGCACTTTGAAGTCTCCGGAAGGACAGCTGGGCAGTTCTTGTCGCGTAATTAATATATTCCATAAATGTCATCAGCTTGGTCTTTAATTAAGATGCAGGAGTAATTCCAACAACTTGATCCGATGCCGTACCGCGCATAACGTAATTGTCTCAAATCAAAGAAACGTGATGGCAAGCATCTACCCACCTTCTAGAACGCTATTTGAAAAAGGAAGAATTTAATCTATAATCACTAATATGACAATTACTAACAGCGTATTAGCAAAAACACCAATATTTTGTGTGTGTGTTAGCCATACTGAGCACAGCAATACAGCTAGTGCGGTTTTCGTCGTCTTATCCCTCGGCTTAGACCGCAGCGTCTTGCATCATTCAAGGTGGGCTTCGAGCCCACGCCACTGGCAGGTTTCCGACCGGCTGTCAGCCCACCTACCGGCCGGACCACTCAGACGCCTGCTGGTGTCGGTACATTTTCCAACACGCTGCAGGTGGTTTCCCGTCTTCGCCAGCTCTGGTTGCCGAGATCCCACGTCAACCCTTCCAGATTTCGCCGACCCAGCAGACCCATGGTCTGCGGGCCCATAATCCGAACACGGCGGCGCTTGCTGGTCTGTCAACATCGATCCACGCTTTTCCCGATACGATTATTCATTTTGTTTTCAGCCGATTCCGTCTCGCGCAGCCGCGAGGCCCAGTCGTCGAGATCTCCACCTGGTTTTAACCATCGTTCCTCACTTTTTGGCAATTTGGAAGTTCTAATCTTTCCGTCTTAAGATGCGTGATCCCGTCTTCCCGATCTTGAAATGGATTCAGACGCGCGATAAAATTTTTTCCGACCATGGAACGGATTAAGATCCTTATGATGCTCAATCAACGGGCATTCTTCACGTTCATTTTGAGTGACCGTCTTTCGCATAAGCCTGGACCTATCGAAAACAGATGCCCGACGCACTGATCCCAGGACAGTCTCCAGGACACAACAAAGCACTGCCGTGCCTGCCAGCGGTGCGACGCGCGTGACTCGTACCGAGCGTGCCACCAGCAGACCAGCTTACTTGTAGGTGAGCACGGTGGCCCAGGGAGCGCAGACGGGCACGGCATACAGCAGCTCGTCCTGCTCCAGTGGTCCACCCGTGAACTCGTCCAGGACCTGGCAGTCTTGCGGCACCACCACCTGCCGGCCGGGCACACCGACCGCGCCGTCAGCGCACGCCGACTGGCGCTCTCCGCTGGCACGGTGGACGGGGTCAGGAAACGGGGGCTGGTGCTCTCCACTAGGACGGTGGACAGGGCCAGGACACGGGGGCTGATGCTCTCCGCTGGGACGGTGGACAGGGTCACGACACGTGGGCTGATGCTCTCCACTGGGACGCTGGACGGGGTCACAGCACGTGGGCTGATGCTCTCCTCTGAGGCGGCGGACAGGGCCACGGCGCGTGAGACGACACTCACTGCAAGACGACAGACATCATCACGGGAGGTTGGGCGATACGTTCCAATGGACCAGCGGACAGCATCACAGTATCTGCGACCAACTGGCTTGAGAGACGTTAAAGCATAACTGCTTACAATTATGATTGAGATGTTGACAAATTAAATCAAAAATTATTTTGGTTTTCATCACGGCTCGTCAATGTTGCTCAGTGATCAAAAGAGCACTTCAACGCAAGTGCCACGCATTGATTTACCTACAACTGGTTTCAATGCGTTGGTTTTCGCATAACTGCTGGATGTATCTCGCCTGAATGAAATTACCAGAAGTTTGATTGCTTTTTCTGGATGGAACGACTACACGGAATGTGATGTCGATTTCAATTCGGAAGCAATGACGCAAGGGGAAAAGATGTGTGTATCTTCCACACAACAGCGTCGTTCCATGTGATTTAACAACGTATGTTTATGCCACCACAATTTCATCACGCACAACTGCTCTTAATCACATATTCATTATTGCACCTAGTCTAGTTCATCAATATTTCATTGGTTCTCGATAAATAAGCGCACTAATTAATCATCACCGATAAAAGTAGAGGCCTGCACCAACTTCCAATACTAGTAACGATGTTGAATACAACTGTCACAACTGTAAGGGCAAAACAGACAGAAGTAATAATGACGTCACAGCACACAGTGAGGCACATGAGCGAATCATACAAGCCCAGGTCCCCCAGGCTGGTGGGCACCTGAAGCTGACATCGGCCCATAGCCCAAGTACCAAACAAGCAACATTTCGGTTACGCAAGCTTTGCTGACATCGCTAGCGACACAACTTGCTGCTCCATTTGGCAGGCCTGCTATTGAGGAAATATCGCATTCAATCCCAACACCCGAGGAGCGCGGATCCTCATTCTCACCCCATGGCACGCGCCGCCTGCCCACTGGCCCCGCTGAGTCCGTGCAGAGCGGCGTGCCTACCAATCACTGTCTTCTCTGACTGCAGATGCAGTAAGTGTTCCAAGAAGCTCGCACGAAGTGCCGGTGATTATTCGCCGGTCTGTGCGCATCCCGGTCGCTTCTGCCTACCGCGCCGGCCGCCGCCAGGACCGGACGACCGATCCGGCGGCCCCCAGGACAGGATGGTCGATGACGCAGACGGCCGCGCGGAGCCGAAAGACCGGGCTCTCACCTCCTCGTCGTCGCCGTCCTCGGCGTCCGCCTCCTGGCGGGCCTTGACCTCCTGGCGGCGCCGCTGCTGCTGCTGCTGACGCTCCAGCTTCTCCTGCAGCTGCTGCTCCTCCCGCTCGCGCTGGATGGCCGCGTGTGACTTGCCCGCCGACTGCAGCGTGGAAGGCGGCACGGTCACCGGCGGGGGCGACACTGCAGGCAGCGGGGCCCACAAGGGGGGCAGCAGGAAACCGGTCACCAGCGGCAGGCGGCAGCCTTGTCGTTTGCTTTTGTTTGCTTTTGTTTTTGGACTTTTCCAGTCATCAACGAAAAAAGTGAGACTCGTAACATCTTACAAGTGTCCAAAAACACCTTTCCTGGTTATGAAAATGGCCCAACCCAATCTGGAGATAAGTTGCAGAACAATGTGCTTTACTTTTTCAAACGTACTGCCGTAGGCCGCAAATCCACGAAGTAAGCTACATTGGTCTAACTACAAGACTCAGCCGATACTGAAACATGCAACTTACGGAAGCGGCACCGAAAACGCATCAGACTATTCATTTGCGTGCAACACTCATTTTAGGAGAGCGAGTTTTCCCGTAAAAGGACGTTGCAGTACTCGCTCGCCCTTTGGATTTTGGAAGCACTTCCTATTCACCCAAAGAAGCTGCCACGGGATCGCAGGGGGGTCTGCACATCATCTGCAATTAATAAAGTATCCTTTTTTCATACGCAGTCTAAAAGATCTTCCGTCGCATGACCATGTATTTTCAATCTGCGCTGTTTGCGCACAGAGGGGTCGTGTTTATCCGTGTTAATTGAAGCCATTGTCACGTTTAGCGATGTCTGCTAGACGTGCGTTTATTTCACTGCACCTTTTCTCGCCTGTATCCTGATGATGATACATAATGTATGAGAGCGTTGACGGAATACATCGTTGATAGCGACTGCTTTCCTTGCCATCAAGGTTTTACTGTTCCTATATATATATATATATATATATATATATATATATATATATATATATATATAGGAACAGAAAATGGTTATTTGGACGGATTTCCAACTAACTTATCAGAGATTCGCCCACAACATGAAAAGTTTCCACGCTGAAAGAATATTATATTTATCAAATATTACGCTACCTTATCTGTTAGTCAATATGTCGAGCTTTTCCGACCACTATGCTACAACTTTTGTCAGAAACACACTGGAGAATAATACAACCGCATTACTTATTTAGTCAATGGGACAGTCTATCTGAATTAATGTATCGTAAAAGTAAGGCTGCAGTGCCAGCAAACAAGAGAAACGATGGGCGACAAGGTATTTGGTCTGCTCGGCTTTGTTTTCTTTTGTTTTTGCTTCGCAGGTTTCATATGAGTTGATCATGCGTACGAGAGCTACTTCCTTGTGCACTCAGCTTCCACGGGCCGCGGAGTGCACCCGTGGACATGGACGTCGCCCAGGACAATGTAAGCCATTTCACACCGGACGGGTCTGACATGCCAGCCAGTAATGTAACGCTTCATCCGGCCATACATCGGCCGTGATAGGCGCATTGCTGACGATATGCGTAGCTCCGCTCCCGACAGAGGCCCCGGGGAAGCCACTCGTCTGAGTCGCGGCCTCCCACGAAGGGATTTCACGTCCAGCGATCTGCTCGGGCCGTGCCAGCGGCGACAGAAGCTCGACCGACATCACTGTGTCAGACGTTACTGTCTTCCTGTCTGTACCAGCACTGGCCGACCCTTGCCAGCGACGACAGAAGCTCGACCGACATCACTGTGTCAAACGTTAGTGCCTTCCTGTTTGTACCAGCACTGGCCGACCCGTGCCAGCGGCGACAGAAGCTCGACCGACATCACTGCGTCAGACATTACTGCCTTCCTGTCTGTACCAGCACTGGCCGACCCGTGACCTGGCCTTCTGGCAGGACCTGGACGCCGCGCGCTAAGCCAGCCAGACAGTCCGGTCATATCGTTCGTCGTCTAAATGGTTGAATTGGTCATTGGTATTGTGCTTGGTAAATTGTTCCGGACAAACATTTCCAGGATTCGACAAAATACACATGTTCGTGAGCTTAGAAAACAAATTGGATACATATTTTTCTAATTCCGATTTAATAACTTTATTTCTGAAAAAAATGCGCTCTGGTCTTTTGACCTTTGGACGGTAGAATAGCCTGTGTCCTGCCTCCGCCACAGGCATGGTCTGCTTTGCCAGACATGGCTGGCAAAACAACGCGAAACGAGAATAAATTGAACAGCCTTGGCGCCATTTTATTTTCCCCTGTTTCGCGACGCAAGTAAGCGCCATTATCGCAATATTCGCATGGCATGACATCGCAACGTATTGGCAACATCTCACCTTAACAGGTGCGGCAAAACAAACCACAGAAAAAAACGGCAGGCATCGAACCGCCGCCCTCAAGGTGAGATGCCACACGCGCTGCCTCTGAACCTCATCATTAGTTCTCAGCCTCCATCACATATTGTTTACTGGTAGCATTCACACTAGCCTCAATGCTCTCGCTGGCCACACATAAGCGTCGCTTTGTGCGCCGTCGAGTTCGGGTGATAGCGTGACTGAAGGCCCCGAGCCCGCACACCTGCCCATTACAAAAGCTTCGCGTCACCCAGACTGCATAGCCAGACTACACCTCAGTTTGCCGACTGTGTGAACAGGAAATGAAGAAATCCCAGTGGATCTTACTCAGAGCGCCCCTTCACTATAACAGTCGAAGCCTCAAGTCATTCAAATAGTGAGTCGATGCTTTGCAGTCGACTGCGTGCTTTACTGCCTAGCATCGAGTCAGTTCCAGATAACATGAATGTCCTTCGGCCAACGGCTGAATTTTACGCATTGTGAATTATGTAGCACGTTGACAGGTCACGTCTACAAAAATCACCGGTGCACCATACCCTGATTAGAAGTTCAAAGGACTGGTAGGAATAGCCGCGCGATGGTAAAGGACTGGATGGTAACACGCGTCATTTCCACCATTCCATGACTGTTAACATACAAGGGCATTCGCCTTCCCATTATCGTTGACCCAATTCACCCAACATTTCACTCGTTGAGCATTAACATGGCGCAAACAATCATTCATCTTCCCGAAATCCGCCCCATCGGGCACTTCGCAAAAGGAGCGTCATGGCCGACAGGAGCACACCTACTCGGAATTTCCCGTTAGCCTACCGTCCAATGCTCGCTCGGCACACGCCGAGGCCTGACGCGGTCATGTGTGTACCGTGACCCGCGGCCATTCAAGAAGTCGGCCACCCTGCCCGATGTGACGCGCTTATCTATCGACGGCAGCTGGGACGAATTTGGCCCATCACCAGAACTTGCAGGTCTCCGAACATCAAACAACTTGACGCCGGTAATAATTCGGGAAAATCTGACACTGAGTGCAGCTGCGTCGTAAAGCGCTGCAAGGTGCAAGCCTAGACCGTGCCAGCTCGCCGACCATAGACCGCATGAAAACAGACAGCGAACGTATTGCATTCACCTGCATCTTGCATTGCCTTTTCATTCATTGCAATTTCAGTATAGCGTGGGAAGCTGTACTGTGGGCCACGCATAAAAAAGCTCGTCCTCGTAGCTCGTTCGGTAATGGGCGCCGAACATCTCAACCCCGCGGGAGAGACACGTGATTTAGAGTCCCAGAAGCCGCTCTTACAGGGATGATGCTGGAAATGCTAATTAGCAGCTAGCCAAGGAGGTCAGGAGGCACCTGGCGACCTATCTTAGCGCCGCATGACACGTCACATGCCATCCGCAAAAACCGTTCCATGCACTGCAACTGCTCAATCCGGGAAGTGGGGTCAGGGCCTTCGCACCAAATTACGGTTAGCAACGGCATACGCAGTCCCAGGCAGCCACATTCACGATACGCACATTATTCTAGAACTGTATGCACCTCAGGCGTCTGCGCCAGGTAGTCGGGTTTGTTGATACAACTTGATTGCAGTTGGGGCAAGACAGGCTCCCTTTGATTTTCTCATCTCTTCCGTCTTCCTTCGTAAACTAAAATGTTGGCCTTCTCCTACAACGCGATGAAATCATTCATCTTGCAATACCCGAAAAATAACGGTTTCTTAAATCTCCCTGATGCTTACCCTCCCCTGATTTTCGGACGCCTCTTTGATGCACGGCGAGGCAGAGGACCAGCTCAGCAGCAAAGGGCTTTAAGAGAGAGATCGAAATTATTCAGACACTGGAAATGCTTGTGGAAGAAAAGCAAAGCTACGTCCTTTTCCTTAAAGCCAAAGTTGTATCCCGCGGGAGAGGGCTAGAATTTTAGATTTTTCAGCCCGTTGGGAGAAATGAAAAGCCAAAGAAGGAAGATATGTTCAGAACACTGCTTAACACGCCCTGTGACTAATGACACTGACATGGCATAACAGAAACATACACCATTCTGAAAAAACCGTACCATGGGTATGAATGCGGTGCACATTGGTACGCGTAGGCATGCATTGGTACGTGTATGCGACGGCGGTGGGGTGTTCGTGTAGCGCAACGGTGTTGTCTTACGACGGGTATATCGTCAGAAAAGAATACAATGACATACAACGTTGAGTGTATGGCGTAAATGCTGCATGTCTGAACCTTATTCTACTCATACAAACATGTGCAGCAGGCGTCTACGACACGAATGCGTGCCATAACTCCCAGACATCTTTCACCGCAGAAGCACATCGACTGTGAGGACGACAATTTTATCCTGAAGTGTGTTTGTAATGGGGGGATCCAGCAAAAACACCCAGCTAGATATCTGCGCACCAAAGCCCCTCCCCCTCCTCCCCCCCCCCCCCCCGCCCCCGGCCATTTTCCGCAGTGTGGCGAGACCGAGGTCAATGGAGACCATTGCGTGTCAATTTGTTGCTACCCATCACATATGCAGACAACGCCTATTTGTATCATTCCCAGGTAAACCGGGCCGGCAAATTACCAAACATTCATATTTTACCTATCATTTGTATGACATGTAACGTGCTATGCACGGGTATCACGCGTCCTCCCCGCGTCGTTGTACTGTGAAACCCAACAGCCAACTTTAAGTTGGGTGATCGATAAAATTAAGGCACAAAATGCACATAAGCTCTCCGCAAACGAGGCTTTATCATATCAGATGGATTTGTTCTTAACCGTTCCCTAGCGGATGCAAGAACGCGACTCCTTTGGAAATCAATACCACCCCGTCCGCAAGGTGCGCAATAAAGGTAGCCCATCGTTACGACACTGAAATAATGAGCCACCGCGCGGAAGACCCAGTATTTGAACACCAATTTCCCAGCAGACAAGCACGTTTCCCCAGTTGTTGCCATCGGCTCTTATTCGGTGGAGGCGGCGACACGGCAGAACAGCCAAGCTATCACTCCGCGAAAGGGGCCTTCGGTCAAAAACATAACGCAACTGGAAAGTCAATGTTTGGAAGCTTTGGTACGCGAAGCAATCTCGTAACAGCTTTGTTGGACAGCCCTATTCTCTTCAAACTGTCGCGACGTACAAAAACCAGGCCGGGGCGAAACGAAGAGATCCCCGGAGGTCCAACAAAACCTGGACGTTACGAAGACTACCGCACGATTAATTCTGGCTTTGACTTACGCAGTTAATACATTTCATTCCATTTCCGCGAGTATCAGGTTGATTCCACACCATCGCTGTGATACGTTTGGCGAACCGACGGAAGTCCGAACACGCAACGGTTCATTTACCACTACACCTGTCTCTGATGCGTGATATTTGCGGCCAAAAAGGCCCCGCACCCTTCCTATCCCCAGAATATATTTTCAGTGATGGCTCTAGCACTAAGCAACTTCGATTATTTCGCTACATGCCATCACACGTTCAAGGAATAGTTTTATTTGGGGACAGCTGCTAATGTGAGGCCTCACCGAAAAAGGAGGCAGTGGTCGCGGGAACAATCAACGTATTTGTGCCGTACATGTCACGCATAAAGGAGCACATACACATAAAGCCAAAATTATAGCTGCGTGGCTAAGCCATGCATATGTACACATGAACAAAGTGGCATACCGAAAATAGCTAACTGACGATGTCATGTGACCATAACGAAAAGGGAATATGCTTCCCCGGCCCTGTCCTTAAAAGTCATAAGGTCACTAAGTCAACAACAAACATCATTCGAGGATTATGTGAACTACAGTGAGGGAAAACCCTCAAACAGGCACCACTTGCGTGGAAGCCTGCAAACGACTGGTCGCTTTGCCGACCAACAATGCCTTACAGCAGATTTAACGTGGGCTTTTCATGCAACCTACGCAGCCATGTGTAGGGGCTGCGGGCCCAATCCCGCTGGTGTAACGCCTGTCATGCTTACTCCACTCAGGCACAAGACCCCACTGACATTCGCTAAAGTCCCGGCAAGTGCAAGACAAGACATGCGTGCACCAGCTGGAATACAGTACTGAGGGCTGTCAGTACTGGAGGCCAGCTGCGGGTCCGGTGGCTACGGGGGTAGTCCCCCGCCCCCTCCCCACATCGCCCCCCCCCCCCCCCCCGACGCGGCTGACCTGCAAGATCGCCATGCGAGCTGCCCGCTCCTCGTCGTCCTGGTCCTTGTACTTCTCCTTGGCGCGCTTCATCTTGGTGCGCTTGCCGCGCGGCTGCGGCGGCGGGGCGCAGCTCTGCTTCTTCTCCTTGCCGGCAGGCGGCGGGCCGGACTGCCTGCCGCGGCGAGTCGCCGGCTTGGGCCCGGGCAGCGGCGGGAACGGGTTGTCCGGCGACCGGGCGTCGGACGGCGAAGTGACCTCGACGGTGAACCTGGGGCAGCCCGGTCACGCAGGTCAGACCACGGGGCACTCGCGAGGAGAGCCGTCCGTGCAACGCGACGCTGAACACTCGCCTTGTTGACAATATGGTGCAAGTATTGTTGGTCAATGAGACATTCGCAGACATTGGTAAGACGTTAGAACACTTTGAATATTGAACGCGCCATTTCCTCTGTCAGTAGGTAGCTACGCGTAGGTTTACAAACAGGATCATACGCCACCCGTTCCACAGGGCCTGATCCAGAGAAGGTCGCGGTCCCGGTGCTGAGAACGTACTGGCCGCCCCTGAGGTGTTTGAACTCGACGCTGGTGTCGGGGAACACGTCCTCGGTGCCGTCTTCCGTCCCCTCTTCCTCCTCCTCCTTCTCTTCAATCTTTTCTTCATCCTCTCGCTTCCCGTCGTCCTCTCCGGCCGCAGGCCCCCCGTCGGCTCTGTCCTCCCCGCCGCTCCCCTCGTCCTCGTTCGCCGACGGTCCTCCGGCGGCCGTGTCCTCCTGATCGTCCTCGTGCGCCGGCGCCGCGCCGTCCGCCTCCTCCTCCGCCTGCTGCGCCGCCGCCGCGCCACCGGTCAGGTCCGGCGGCGCGCCGTCCTCGGCATCGAGCGTGCGCACGCGACGCTCGCCCCGGTGCCTGCCCACACGGACAGGGCCGTCACGTGCGCCAGGGCGAAACGCGCGCTCGGTCATGTCCGTACAAAATACCCGGAAATCGTTTTGGAAACTACAACCTGTGTGGATCAATGTCACGAGCAATGTTTTACATTTACATCGCGCTTCAATATATGACAATAAGTTGGTCCCCGGTCTTACGAGTTAGCCTCTCCCGCTCGCCTTTTTAATTCAACTGCCGTTAGCCAAGGACAGGTTGGCCAGCCAAGGGAACCAAAGCTACTTCCCCCCGGAAGCAAGGCTCTTGCGCAACGTGCCCCAACTACGAACCATTTACGTTGAAAACGTCTCACCTCTCCATGGAGCCGCGTGCACGCTCCAAGTGAATCGTATTTCTATTCTTGCCTCCCGCTTGATAGCGACTTACCTATCTATATGGCGCTCATTGGCTTCCCAGGCACTCACCTCTCCACGGAGCTATCCTCCAGCTTGAAGAGGACGCCGAAGCCGAGCGCCAGGTGGCAGGGTGGCAGGTAGTTCTTCTTGCCCCGCACCATGAAGCTGCCCGTGGTCAGGTACTCGCCGGTGGGCGCCGTCTTGGACACCTGGTGGGCATGCACCCACCAGGCTGACGTCACCACCTTGGCATCCCAGGCCGAGCTGGCGGGCAGTGGTCACGGTCAGTGGGGTCGGGCGGCGGTCAGCGGTAGCGGCGAACCGCGGCACGGTACAGCGGGCACGGAGTCGCGGGCCAGCCACCTCCCCCGTCCCCCGTCCCCCCTGTTTATGGGGCCGCCGCGACGCCGGAGCGACACCGCGAATCCGCCATAACAGCCAAACGCTGCTCAGTGGCCCCGGCAAGCGCGTTACCGGATCAGCCCAGATGGGGGATACGGTCCCGAACGAACACACGCGTGCTAAGCTTCGCTACATCAGCCTCAGCGGGGGGGGGGGGACGGGGGCCGTCACGGTTACGGTCTATACCCTCCACACAAAAAGAAGACCCTGCCCCCTTCGAGCAGACCCGATCGGCGACACCAGCCCGGCTGGACAGCGTCCGCCGCCAGCGGTGCCCACGCCGGAGACCCGCACCGCCCCGCAGCCGCCGCCCACCTGTTGCAGACGGCGAACGTGCCGGCCTCGTTAAGCGTCTTGGGCGGCACGTGGCCGCCGCTGGGGTTCTTCAGCACGAGCGAGGCGGCGCCGTGCAGGTCAGCGTGCACATACAGGTCCCCCGGCCGCAGGTAGCGGCGCACCAGCGTCTCGTTCTGCTGCTGGTCGCGGCCGCCCAGCACTGGCGGCCAGCAGACGGCCGTCAGACATCGGACACGGCACGACAGCACGCACGCAGGTATGTTTGAAGCGTGCTTTGCGTCTTAAGACGAAACGCGTGGACGATCTGCAACGCAGCACCCAGAGAGCGCCACACACTCAAAGTGGAGACAGAATGGAGCACAAATGCCGACGGCAAAACGGTCGAGCCCGACTTAATTTTCAGTGCGATTTAGTTGCCGCAAATTTTCCTACAAGACTGAATTGCTCACACCAACATAACTGATGCAAATCAATACTAACACAAGCCTGATGTCTCGACGCAACAACGAGAAGGGTTATGTGAAAATCCAGTCCTTTTCCATACCCAGACAACAAAACCCCACATTTCCACCGCATTCTTCTTGGCCACATACTGTGTGCTTCCAGGCTCATGCCAAGATAAAAAATGCCATCTTGGAGAGCGACAGCTACTGACCGAGGTAGTTTTCAGAGGTGATGAACCACAGAAACTTCTCGAACCAGTGCACGCGACGCGCCTTGTTGATACTGGCGATGGTGGCCGCCTCCTTCAGGGTCTGCTTAGTCTTCTGCTCGGCCGACTTGAGCGCCTTGAAGGACGACTCAATGGTCTTTTGCTGTTTGCGCGCAGCCGTCCGCTTCAGGTCGAAATACCTGGCGATGGACGGACAGGTCTGTCAGGCGCACAGCAGGCACCCCTGTCTACGAACAGACCTGGCAGGCGTACAGCAGACACGCCTGCCCACAGACAGACCCAACAGACGCACAGCAGACACGCCTGTCCACGGACGGGCCTGTTAGGCGGACAGCAGGCACGCCTGCCCACGGACAGATCTAACAGGCGCACAGCAGGCACGCCTGTCCACGGACGGGCCTGTTAGGCGCACAGCAGACACTCCCGCTCACGGACAGACCTGGCGGACATACAGCAGACGTGACCTCTCTGAACGACACCCTGGTGACGTGTGACACCACTGCCCTGGCGGCGACCGGTCACAGCCAGTGGCGACCTGACCTCTCTCCCTGGGCGGCCGGTCGCTGCCGTGCGATGCTGACTGACCTCGCGGCGTTGGCCAGCGCCGACAGGTCCAGATCAATGTCCACCAGCATGGGCCGCACGTGGGTGGCCTCGGCTGGCGGGTCCTTCTTCTCCGGCGCGGTGCCGTCCTCAGAGTCCTCGCCGTCCTCCTCGTCCTCGTCCTCTTGGTCCGAGTCTTCCTGGTACGGGTCGCTGCGGCAAACGTGGCGTCGGTAGAGCACGAGGGACTGAGGAACGTATCACGGATGCTATCCCGTGACTTGTTCTAGGATAAGTGAGCACAGTCTGCTTGATACTTTATCAATACTGCAGACCGTCTCATGGTCAGTACTTTATATGTCGTTTCAGTCATAGCCCCAATGATGCAGCGCTTTTCACCGACTTGTGACGGCACCGTCACTCACCAGGACGTGGTATGCTAATGCCATTCGCAACTCCCGAATTTGGCTTCCTGTTCCCTTCTCCAATTAAATATCAATCGCATGGGACCGACTCCAACTGTACCGACGCTGGTGTTCTCTACCTCCAAGGCGACCGTCGCCTCACCAGCCGCCACATCACGGGACGGTGCAACGCGCCCCGCTGTCCGCCTTACTGTAGCAGCATGGTGATGTGGTTCTTCTCCAGCTTGAGCGCCTTGATGACGTTGGCCACGGGGTCGCCGCGTTTCTGCGCCTCCTGCACGATGTGGCCGATCTCGCGCCAGTCGATTTGGTTGGCCAGCGCCGAGCGCACCACCAACGCCGCGCCGTCCACCAGCGCCGCGTTACTCGTGATCAGCTCGGCCCGCCACCTATCGTCGCGCTGCGCAAGCTCCAGTGCCTCCAGCCGCCGCTGGTGGTCGCGGCGCACGTTGTCCAGCTTTTTCATGGCATCACGTTCCTGAGGGAAGAGTAAAGCTCGGACATGTGTTTTGTGGACAAGGGTTTTCGAGTAAGTCCGGAATCAATCAAGAACCAACTTGCAGGCATTGGGTGTTCGTCGAGACATATTTCCGGTCTCATAAAGGCCGTTACGTCGCGCCGATAAGCAGCTGTACGTTACGAGCGCGGCTTTATAGTGACCTTTTGCTCGCGAGGATTCCTTCGCCAAATAACTCACAGTCTGGAATGCACTTATCCAGCAGTTTGGCAAGCACATCACGGGACTGAGCGCACGTCACAGTAATCACATTGGGAGACTGCTCGCGCAGACCTCCAGAGTAACGACTAACGCTTACGGATTACGTTTCGGTAGCCAGGTGGACCAAGCTTAACTGAACGGTCCTCTCGTGTATTCGGTCAGCACGATGCTGTGCCTTGATGCTGTGCACTTCAATGCACCAGTGACGGTGCCAAAGCAGCAGCAAACACTTCGCCCGCAAACGGCCCGGGACGTAAAGCCAGACAGCTCGCGTTACACTCTATGTTTCGCTTGGCAGTGACCTCTAAGCACTTCGGTCAGTGATCAGCAACAAACAGCCCCATTTTCCACTGTTCCAAAGTGTTTGAGCTCGGGCTGGGAGACTTGCGAAGAGACGAGACGATTATGTGGAGGGTGCCACATAAACCCCGAGCTAAATGAAGGGAAAACGGAGAACGCAAAACGAGGTAACACTAGGGACACACCACAGCCCTTCCCCAGGCGATGGCTCCTGTCACAGCGCGGAGCGGTGCGGCGCGATCGGTTGGCGGCCGCCGCCTGACGGCCCGGGGTCCTCGCCCACCTGTTGCACAGCTTTCATGTCCAGCTTCTGGCTCTCCAGCTGGCTGAAGAACTGATCGACGGCGGCGGTGAAGCTGAGGTAGGTGTGGTGTGGCTGACCGGCGTGCTGCCGCAGCAGCAGCGGATGGAACTCCTGGTAGCCGAGCAGCTCCGTCTCGGCCGGGCCGCCGGCGCCCCGCCGCTCCACCTTGTAGGTGATGACGCCCTGCACGCCGGCCGGCCGCGAGTCAGCCAAACTCACGCGGCACGGACGGGGGTCATGCAGAGGTCAGAACGCAAAGGTTCCCTCGCTAAACCACACACATGGGCTCACACCGCACACGACAGCGGCTCCATAGGTGCCTGGTGACCGCGCCCGTCCCAACAAAGCTCACGTCACACGGCGGAAGCGCTCCCCTCACAGCGCGCCTGCGACGAGCCCAGTCGTCGGCGGCGTGGCGCCCAGCACGACCGCGTCAGAGGGAGGCGCGCGGCGCCGTCATCCGTACCCGGAACTCGTGCTGCTCGCCGCGCAGAACGGCCTCGCCGGCGCGGACGGCGGCCACCAGCCGGTGCAGGTGCTCCGCCGGGTGGAACTCGTGCCCGACGCGCGCCGCCGCCGGGAAGCCCGCCTCCAGCAGCAGGTGCTCGATCAGCGCCGCGCCGAAGTCTGCCGGCCGCCGCGGAACGTCAGGTTACGACACCCGGCTACCCGGTGGTGCTCTGACCAGAGCCGTGTAACTTACAACACCGGCCTGGACAAGGAAGGAGCTCTTGACCATGTCTTTATGGCATGTGAATCAGGCCATCTACAAATCAGTACCAACAACTCGGAACAACATTGAAAATTGCACTGATGATGGTAAAAAAATCTGAACAGGCTGACATAAGCTAAAGATGAAGGGGAGACACATCTTTTTTTAATGAATCAGGTCGAATTTCATACAAATCTACACTTTAGGAAATTACTGTTTCACATGGTTGTCAGCATTTTGGAACAGCAGCACGCACTGTCAGTTGGTCGGCGCCGACGAGGATGCCTTAAGCCACCCTCAATGCACAAATACACCGGGAGCGCCGACTCAAATGACGCAAAAGTCCAACATCCTCCAGGAAGGGCCATCCACGAGCCAGGCTGGACCACCAGGTCTCCCATGCCGTCTGCTGGCCGCGGGTTGACGCCATACCCAGATGGGGGTTGATAACCTTCTTGAGCACGTCGCCTTCCTTGGCGGCGCTGACCACCTCCCGCAGCTGCTCCTCGGAGCGCGGCTGGAACGGGCGCGCCTTCTCCACCGGGTACACCTCCTTGGACGCCAGCCTGACGGCGGCCGGCATCACGCCGTTACCGCCAGTCACGGGGGGCGGGGGGGGGGGGGGGGGAGTGCAGCAAATCATTTTGAATTGGGCATAATCCAGTTAAAACACATCAAGCCAGTTCAAACCATGCATCCACACCATTCTGCCACCAGAGAGGTCATCCCTTGAGGGACAACCTCATGTCCCTTGACACCCCCACTGCCAAGTGAGTGCTCAACTGACACCCCGAACGCGGACTGAGCGTCTGCCGGACACCAGCGCCACCTGGTGGGTGCTCACCTAACACCACCAGCGCCCCTACCTGACATTGGCACCGCCTGGTAAGCGCTCTCCTCACAATCCCAGCGCGAAATGAGTGACTGCCTGACATCGGCGCCGCCTAACGGGCCCTCACCTGACGCTCTCAGCGTCGGTGCGCGGCCGCAGGATGTTGAGGATGGTGTACTGGTGGTCGGTGAGCACGACGTTGCCGCGGTCGTACACCTCCAGGATGACGTGGTGCGCCACCTCACCCGAGCCGAACTGCAGGTCCACCACCCGGTCCACGCCCAGCTGGCGGATCGACTCCAGCCGCTTGTTGCGGATGTGTTTGCGCAGCTGCGGGCCGCAGGTCAACCGCGTCAACGGCGCCGCCCCCGTCACATCGACCGAGACCGGCGTCCGTCACCTGTTCAGCTACAGTACGCAGTGGAGCTACACCACGCTTTAAGAGACTCCCTGGCAGCAATGTGGAGTGGACATTCAACTAAGATGCGAGGATAGTCAGGCAGAACAGCAAAATGCGCAGTATGAGTTAATATACGTGTAATGCGCACAACACACGACGGCTACGAACTTACACCACATACACCAGCCAAAAGATGCTATTCTAACATCTGTTGCCCTCCACAGAGCGACTGGCAAACGCTCCCATGCGGTGCCTCCCACCTTCATGGAGAAGCCGGAAGGCGCCGGGTTTTTGGGCCACTCATACTCGGTGGCGTGGATGCGGCAGCCGGACTCCAGCAGCAGCACAGCTTTCTGCTCCGGTCGCTGCAGCTTGATCAGGTAGGTCTTGTGGTCGGCATCATACACCTGCACTACACGCATGCCCACCAGCCTGCAGAGCCAGAACAGCGGTCGTGAGAGGGCACAGGCTGCTGGCCGCTAGTCACTGAAAGCCCAATATCACTGTTGGTGGCTGTTGATTGCTCACAGCGGTGAGGCGACCTTTGCAGGTATACAGCAGTACTCAGTGTGCCTCAGAGTGGTACCATGATCACCTGGGCATTAACCACAGACACAGCCCACCCACAAAATGTATGTGCTTCATGAAATGGGAGAGTGTTGTTATACAAGGGCATGTTTGGAAAGATGTGGAGTTTAATACAAGAAGGATGCTCACCTCTCATTCAACTCCGCCACCATGGCGATCAAGTCAATGGTGGTAAACTTTGACTTCATCTTGGCTTTCAGGAGGCCCGTTGAAGGTTATCTGGAAAAAAGAGCTGCCAGTTACCACCATTTTGCAAGCAGGGTATCCAGCACATCGGTAACCAGCTTATGTGAAGAACACTGCAGCACCAATTGTAGGTTTACAGTGGTCACGGTATACATTGCTACCTCATGTTAAAAAATAGCATTGTACATCAGCTGTCACTTTTAAGGCAGAACCTATTGTAATAATCGTAAAACTGGTCATCTAAACTCTTACCTTGGAACTTAAATATCTATGATAGCGAACATCCGAGTGCCGCAAACACGCAGCAACTGCGGCCCCAGCGCCATTGCTACGCGTGATCATAACATTACTGCGCATCAAGAACCATACAAATGTATGGGGCCAAGGTAACAAGGATCCAATGAAATATGTTTCTTGCATATCCAAGCAGTCTTCCATACAGATTGGTCGACATCGTGGGCAAATATGATGTCTTTGGGTGGGGAATGAAAAGCAAAATGAGAAGATGGTGGCTAAACAAAACTTCTTAATATCGTGCATATATATATATATATATATATATATATATATATATATATATATATATATATATATATATATATATATATATATGACATGGAACATGAATGCCAATGGGACACTGGGTTGAAGGGGATGGGGTGGGGAGGTTAGGTTAGGTTAGGTTAGGTTAGGTTAGGTTAGGTTAGGTTAGGTTAGGTTAGGTTAAGTGAGGTGAGGTGAGGTGGGGTGAGGTGAGGTGAGGTGAGGTGAGGTGAGGTGAGGTGAGGTGAGGTGAGGTGAGGTGAGGTGAGGTGAGGTGAGGTGAGGTTGGGTTAGGTTAGGTTAGGCCAGGTTAGGTTAGGTTAGATTAATTTAGGCTAGGCTACACTACACTAGGTTAGGTTACATTAGGTTAGGTTAGGTTAGGTTAGGTTAGGTTAGGTTAGGCTAGGTTATGTTAAGTTAGGTTAGGTTACACTAGGTCAGGTTAGATTAGGCTAGTTTAGACTATGTTCTGGACTATTCTGGCCTGTCTATTTTATAAACATACCTACATGTGACAAGAAACATATTTCATTGCATTATTGTTGTTACCTTGCCCCCATACATTTTTTATGGTTCTTGACAAGCAGAAATATTGCAACTATGCAATGATAATGCGGAAATGGTGCTGGGGAGTCCAGGCAGTGGAGTGTATGGGGCGCTCAGGAGCTCGCCACCATGGTTATTAAAATTTGATGGTAGGGACATGAATCTACCTGTTTTATGATTATTTACAATATGTTCCACCTTAAACATGATGAATGATGTACAACATTTTTCCTAACATAAGGTACCAATGTATACCTACAACTTTACAGCTGTTTGGCCCCTGTTCACCCTGCCATATGTCATAGCCATCTTTCAACCCATTTTGATATCATCTGAACATAATATCATTTGTATATGGGATAAATCTGGGCAGAATATACATTTTGGCAACAGTCAGGTAAATCCCTAAATGCAATTAATGATATCATTGAGATTTTTCTCTCCTAAGCAAAATTCCTCAAAAAGCCCAATCTGGATCCAGTCTGCTAAAAATCCATTCATTGCCACAGACACCCATGCCATCTAAGTACTGAAATTCTCTCATGTGCACTGGACTCCAACAAGGTAAAGTTGGGCTGAATTTCAAATCCTTTTTAAGTGAATTTTTTGTAGCATTTTGCCTCAGATTAACCAACCAGCAATATGATGGCTTGAAGCATTAGCTCCTTATGTGGTTAAATTGACATCATCTGCACATAACTTAAAGAACTTAAATTCATGGAGTACATGTGCTGAGATCGTTGCCACAACTCAGTATTTATGCTGGTGTTACCCAGTCAGACATGTGCCATGGCTGCATAACTCACATTTTTTTGGAGTCTGGAATCAAATATGAAGTTTGCATGCCTTTAAAGCTTACCCCACCAGCTGATGCAGAATCTGCATCTCATCAAAGCCATCATAAATTACTACTACATTCCATTACCTCAATACATCTGTCAAGCCATCACATGCGTCACCTCTCCTATGGCCCGTCTCATACATTGACCACAAAACGAGGGACGTTTGCTATTTGATCCAAAGGTTCCCCAAAGCATTCGCGTTCCCACCGAGAGGATCTTGACAAAAATGGAACAGTATTGCACAGGTTTCCCTTTTCAAAAGCGCGCCGATTGCATCGGGTCCGCGTACACTCACACCCAAACCATGCGGAGACCCCTCAGCCCTCCATGCGGACATGTGACGACATGGCGGACGCGATGCCGTGTAGAGGGATGGACGTGATGCCTGGCCAAGGTACTGACAATCTAGCAGCAGATTGATATCCAATTGCCAGTTGGATATTGCGGGGCGCCTGGATTGCCTTGAAATTTGGAGAGCAGGGCCTTCTCAACACCCTGTTTCCGAAAATCACTGTCTCTGGGGTGGAATTTTGCGTAATTTTCGAGTTATACGCTGCGTAACATCCCAATGTGATATTGCGGGGCGTCTCGATTGCCTCCAAATTTGGTGTGCAGGGCTTCTCGACACGCTGATTCCGAAAATCACTGCCTTTGGGGTAAAATTTTGCGTAATTTTTGAGCTGTACGCTGCGTAACATCCCAATGTGATATTGCGGGCGTCTTGATTGCCTCCAAATTTGGTGTGCCGGGCCTTCGCAACACGCTGATTCCGAAAATCCTCGCCTTTGAGGTGGAATATTGCGTAATTTTCGAGTTATACGCCGCGTAGCACAACAGTTGGGTATTGCTGGGCGTCTCGATTGCCTCCAAATGTGGTGTGCAGGGCCTTCTCAACACGCTGATTCCGAAAATTTCTGCCTTTGGGTAGAATTTTGCGTATTTTTAGAGTTACACGCTGCGTAACATCCCAATTTGATATTGCGGGGCGTCTCGATTGCCTCCAAATTTGGTGTGCAGGGCCTTCTCAACACGCTGACTCCGAAAGCCACTGCCTTTGGGGTGGAATTTTACGTAATTTCCGAGTTACACGCCGCGTAACATCCCAATTTGATGTTGCGAGGTGTCTCGATTGCCTTGAAATTTGGTGTGCAGGGGCTTCTCAACGCACTGATTCCGAAAATCACTGCCTTTGGGGTGGAATATTGCGTAATTTTCGAGTTATACGCCGCGTAACACAACAGTTGGATATTGCCTAATTTAATGATATTGTAATTTTCGAGTTGTACGCCGCGTCACGTCCCATTTTGATATCGCAGGGCGTCTCGATTGCCTTGAAATTTGGTGTGTAGGGCCTTCTCAACACGCTGATTCCGAAAATCACGGTCTTTAGGGTGGGATTTTGCGTAACTCCCGAGTTATTCGACGCGTGACACCTCAGTCGCGCTTTGGAATATGTGTCCTGGAATTCGCCTTTGGGCCTGTCCGTATCAGTTCATTGGAGAAGGTCAGTTCGCGACATGTGAGTGATAACCGTGTGGTATGTGATATCATTGACTTGGTGATATCACCCAGTGGCATCCCTTTCAGCTTTGTTTCTTTTCTGACCTTTAAGGTGGTTGAGTGATAGTCCGACGTAGTTACGGGCATTGTTTGTCCTGACCAAAAAACTGACAAGATGTCGCTGATGATCAAACCAATCGTGCCTCACTGCTGGAGCATGAAGATTTGGGTGATGTCACCGTCTGTCTTATCTCCCAAGGACGCTGGTGGAGCAGCGCATGCTACTTGTGCACGCCATGCCCATGTTGTTGGCTGGCCGGCCACATCAGCCCGCTGCTCCTGACCGTGGTGGAGACGCTGCACTTCGCGAGCCTGCCGGACGGCGGTAGCGACACACCGATGGTCAGGGGGCCCGCCAGCTGATAGCCGGCCGGACGGCGGCGTCGACACACCGGTGGTCAGCATGTTGAGAAGGCCCTGCAAACCAAACTAGGAGGCGATCAAGACGCCCCGCAATATCCCACTGTTGTGTTACGCGGCGTATAACTTGGAAATTACGCAAAATTCCAATCCGAAGACAGTGATTTTCGGGATCAGCGTGTTGAGCAGCCCCTGCACACCAAATTTGGTGGCAATCGAGACGCCCGCAATATCACATTGGAATGTTGCGCAGCGTATAACTCAAAGATTACGCAAAATTTCACCCCAAAGGCAGTGATTTTTAGAATCAGCGTGTTGAGAAGGCCCTGCACACCAAATTTGGAGACAAGCGAGACGCCCCGCAATATCACATAAGGATGTTACGTAGCGTATAACTCGAAAATTACCCCAAATTCCATCCCAAAGGCAGTGATTTTCGGAATCAGCGTGTTGAGAAGGCCCTGCACACCGAATTTGGAGGCAATCGAGACGCCCGCAATATCACATTGGGATGTTACGTAGCGTATAACTCAAAAACCACGCAAAATTCCACCCAAAGGCAGTGATTCTCGGAATCAGCGTGTTGAGAAGGCCTACACACCAAATTTGGAGGCAATCGAGACGCCCCGCAATATCACATTGGGACGTTACGCAGCGTATAACTCTAAAATTACGCAAAATTCCACCCCAAAGGCGGTGATTTTCGGAATCAGGGTGTTGAGAAGGCCATGCACACCAAATTTGGAGGCAATCGAGACGCCTCGCAATATCCAACCGTTGTGTTACGCGGTGTATAACTCTAAAATTACGCAAAATTCCAAACTAAAGGCAGTGATTTTCGGAATCAGCGTGTTGGGAAGGCCCTGCACACCAAATTTCAAGGCAATCGAGACGCCCCGCAATATCCAACTGTTGTGTTACGCGGCGTTTAACTCAAAAATTGCACAAAATTCCACCTCAAAGGCAGTGATTTTCGGAATCAGCGTGTTGAGAAGGCCCTGCACACCAAATTTGGAGGCAATGGAGACGCCCCGCAATATCACATTGGGATGTTACATAGCGTATAACTCGAAAATTACGCAAAATTCCACTCCAAAGCCAGTAATTTTCGGAATCAGCGCGTTGAGAAGGCCCTGCACACCAAATTTCAAGGCAATCAAGACGCCCCGCAATATCTAACTGGCAATTGGATATCAATATGCTGCTAGATTGACAGACGTGGCCAAGGTCATTCGCAGCAAAGCGATTTCCAGCTCGCATGATCTGGGCGAATGCGGCGCAGTTATTGAAGGTAGGCACCGCGGCTATAGGTGCCAGCTGATGGTGACGTTTAATCGCGAAAATCCCATTTCATGAAGCGACGGGACTTGCAATTTGAACACAAAGCAAATATAACTTGCGTCTGAGAGTGAAGCGGATGTAGCGCGTTTACTGGGCCGCAAACTGGGGCTACGCCCTAACTATGCGTGAGTGAATTTGGTTCGTGAAGGACGAGTGTCCTGCGGATGACAAAATTCAACGGAGGAGCAGAACCGCACCAGAGTGGACCAATCGCGTCTGAAGAGAACAATGAAAGTTTTAACAAAAACAATGAAAAGCTCGGAACATAACAGATCGGAGCAAACAGGATAAAGGTGAGGACGAGAAGAACCGGAAGAGCTGAGGACGAACGGACGGGACCAGACCGGACCAGGCTGAACCAGGAAAATTGGAATGGGCGGTGTAAGTCGGAACACTCAGTTCGGATCGGATTGGATCGGACTGCACCGGATCAGATTGAACTGGGCTGGAATGAACCGTAATGGACCTTGTAGAGGGCCCGAAAGGACCGGAAGGCTCGAAAGGGGCGGAATAGTCTGGAAACCAAATGGGGTAAGTGGACTGGACAGAGCCTGACAAGGCTCAACTGGATAAAATCCAAATGGTCGCATCAGAGTTGACGGAACCCAGCGAATGTACTGGGCCGGACTAGACAGATGACTGACCATGACTGAAAGGCACAGCATGAAGACAGGAAAAGTAGACCGGACTCCACCAGGCCTGGCTTGGTGCTCGGCTAGACCGAGCTGGGCTGAGCCTGAACGGACCATCGATGTTTAGTAATGGACAGAAGGGACCGCAGATGAATGAAGGGGACTTAAAAGTCAGAAGAGTTTGATGAAGACAGATAAGATCAGGACTGGGTGGACTTGACCGGTTCAAACAGAAAGGACTTACACAGCGCCCGGAACGGGTCTGAGACAACCACGCCCGACCGAAAGGAAGTTGACTTCCCAACTGGGTTCTTTAGCTTCCAGTTGCCGTAGGGAAAGAATAAGACACCGGTGAGATGGTCTCGTGAAATTATGAAGAAAGCACAGCAAATTTAGGAACTTACGTGAAGTGCAAAGTCACCAAAAGTCACGAAAAGACAAAAGCGTTGTCCTGATAGATGCAGTTAAATCTATGTTAACACGACAAGACGGATATTGAGGGCACGAAAATAAGTGTTCAGACTGTGCTGATGGGAGTCAATTCTGACCACTTCTGCTCCTTCACAGGAGTCTAGTCAGATTATGTCGCCGTTCAAAATTGGTCTACGTGCAGGCTATAATAACGATACTTTTTCGCGATGTGCCTCTGACTAAGTTGATCTTATTACGGACAGCTGTTGTGTATTCCAGACACAATACTGTCGTTTAGAGTTGACGTGGAGTTCATCTGAGGTCAACTTTGGTCAAATATATCAACTATTTAAATAAATAAATTGAAATGTTAACAGGTTTATGTGACCAGTATAACGTTTTTATGCGGTCAGAAACGGTGTGTTGTACATCTGTAGGCATTCGAGATTGCATAACTGTTGACTACATCACAGATAGTCCCTTTGACGCCTGGCAGTGTATTTGTAACAAATTGAGAAGAGGCACGTTGGTACATCAAATTATACGACGTCATCAGTTTCACAAATACGATAAGGAGATGGTTACACGCGTTCCGCCCGTTAGTCTAGCCTCTCCGCTACTGACGACACAGGTCATTGACCTAAGATGACCTCATATGACCTTGCATATCACCACGTGGCGTATTGTGACCTTATTATGCATAAGAATGACATCACAGCATGTTTTCAGTGGAGTTTTCTAATTCTGCGTCCAAAATTATCCTATCAGATTACCTATTTTGACCTCAGCGTGTGTTTTGCAGAGGGCACTCGTAGAGGTCAGTCATTACCTGGGCCAAGGTGATGTGCATTGTGGTCGAATGATAGCTGTGCATATGGGTTAGTACTTTTCCCTCACAATCAGACAACAAAACAACACAAAATAGTAAAAAGCTGCATTATTTACGAAAACAATAAAAATTGACCTGCCTTCAGGTCGCTGACGTTGCCTGTTTGGAAAAATATGAAACGAACAGGCTGCAGGTACTTTCGTGCTCTATTGCTATTGTAAACATTTTCACCCACGGCGGCGCGG